GGAAACCCTTTAGCGTGTCAGTCAATTGCTTCTCCAATCCCTTTTTAAAAAACAACAGTGTTGGAGAAGAAAGGGAGGGAGGGGAAGGAAGGTAGGTAGAATAGCAAAATAACAGAGTTGGAAGAGACCTTGGAGATCTTCTAGTCCAGGGGTCTGCAACCTTAAACACTCAAAGAGCTATTTGGACCCATTTCCCACTGAAAAAAAAACACCGGGAGCCACAAAACCTTGGTGGGCGTGGCCAACTCAACATCATTCACTTTCACCAGTCACATGACATCCCCCCAGCCACGCCTACCCAACTGGTCATTAGGGCAGAGAACTGGTTGCTAAAAAACAATGGGAACCACAAAACCCTTTTGAGATCTCTCTCTCTCTCCCTCCCTCCTCCTCCTTCCCTTCTCTCCCCCCCTCTCTCTGTATCTATGTCTCTCTCTCCCCCCCTCTCTCTGTATCTCTCTGTCTCTGCCCTGGCCTCTTCTCCATTCCCCGCCATCGCCCTTACCTTCTCAGGCCAGGCAAAGAGTGACTGAGAGGGGAGGGTGAGGGGTGGCGCCAGCCAGTGGTGGGATCATCCAACAGGGAGCCATAGCAGAGGGCCTAAAGAGTCGTATGTGACTCGGGAGCCGCAGGTTGCAGACACCCGTTCTAGTCCAACCACCTTCTCAGGCAGGAAACCCTATATGGTTTTAGCCCAAAGCCCTTGAAGCTACAGAAGAAATTCCCCATAGGTGAGGCTGTCCCCACAATGGACTTTTTCTCCTGGGACCCGGGTCTATTCTGTTGCTGCTGCCACCTATCACTACTGCTCACCGCCGCCACCATCTATCGCCGCCACCAGCTGCCCTCGCTTGCCACCTATTGCTGCTGCCAGCTATCACCGCTGCCGCCGTTCACTGCCACCACCTATCGCTGCCACTCATCGCTTCTGCCTATCGGTGGTTGGATCGGCCTTCTGGAATACTGACAATCAGCTGTTCCAAGCAGCACAGATCGCCACTGCTGTTTGCCGCTGCCACCTGTTGCTGCTGTGGCAGCAAACAGCAGCAGCAACAGGCAGTGGCTGTGAACAGCAGCAGCGATCCCCCCCGCCTGGAACAGCTGATCGATGGTATTCCAGGAGGCTGATCCAACCGCCAATAGGCGGCAGCGACGAACAGCGGCAGTGAAGGGTGGGGGTGAAAGGTGGTGGCAGCAACAGGCGGCAGCAATAGGCGGTGACAGGCCGTTCCCCACCGCTGCCTGTCACCACCACCATAACCCCTCCTCCCACCACGGGCTGGTCTGTGACGTAATATTCACTTCATAAGATGCACAGACATTTCCACCCACTTTTTTGGGGGGAAGAGTACATCTTATAGCGCAAAAAATACGGTATTTAGTTTTATTTGTTGTCACTGTTGAGATGTGTTTAGCACCATACCTAGAGTGAAAGAGCTCTCTGAGGCCTTCAGAAAGAAGATTATTGAATATTTATAATGATGCTTAGTTTGGAAGGATTTTAAAAAACATTGCTAAACAATTGTACACCAATCATTCCACTACCTAGAAGATCATGTAGTAGTGGGCGGGGGGGGGGGGGAGAAAATGGAAATGGATGTCTATGGAGACTCTCAGTCTCCATAGTCTGAGTCCTGTTGGAGAAGGGCGGTATAAAAATAAAATAAAATAAAATAAAATAATAAAATAAATAAGGTCATGATTGTCCCAAATGTGCTTTTTCAAGAGGCAACTGGATTTATGGTTTTTCTTTGACATTTCACTTCTCATCCAAGAAGCTTCTTCAGCTCTGACTGGATGGTAGAGAGCCTTACCAATGCCCTTCCATTCCCCACCATCCAGTCTGAGCTGAAGAAGCTTCTTGGATGAGAAGCGAAATGTCTTCAAAGAAAAACCTGAAAGTCCAGTTGCCTCTTGAAAAAGCACCTTTGGGACAAGGAAATGGATGGTTCTGGACTGTCCAGTTCAAAGCCCAGATCTAAACCCTATTAAGATGCTATGGGGTGATTTGAAATGGGCTGTGTGTGCAAGAAATGCCTCAAACGTTGTCCAGCTGAAAAAAAAATCTATATGAAAAAAACCCTTCTTCCTGGTCAATGTCAGAGAAAGGGGAGAGTTATCATAAATGCCTACTTGAGGTTGTTTTGTCAAAGAGGGCAATATTAGCTATTGGAATCAAGGATTTTTTTTTTCTGCAGAAAGAAATGGCCTGCTTTTTTAAAAAATAAATAATTGCAAAGTCAATTTTCATAGGCTTTTTTTTTTGTTCAGTTAAATGACTTTTATCTTTATATATTGTTCTAAAAAAGATAAAATATTGGCATGCCCATTTTGTAAAAAAAAAAAAATTACATGGTCTGTACTTACTTTTTCACTTGACTGTATAATAACCCTAAAGGGAACAGTTTATCTATTGGTATGAGCTCTGTTACTGACAGTGATATTCATTTTTGACTTTTAATTTGGTTCCTTTTTGTTGAGACTCTTTCTCAAGTTCTCCCCTTCATCTTCTCTTTTTCTCTACTACATTTTATCTCAAGCTTTTCTCGTTTATCTTTCTACTGGGTTTTCTGATGCCCAGTTCACTAGTGCCTGCATTCCTTCCACCTATCTTGTATTATGTTTTCTTACGCCTTTGCTTATCCAGATCCTCAGATTTCAGTTTAGCTCACAGAAAAGGATCAGGCAACCTGAGGCTATATGCAGTCAGTGGAATCTTCTTTCATTTTAGTACTAAATTTCAGTGGTACAATTGCACAACTGTATTAGAACAGTTTCTCACTACATTTACATGAAAAAGGCAATAAAACCTAAAATACAATTTTAAAACCTAACCTCATAAATATCACCCATCCCCAAAAAGTGGGAAAGAAACAAAATGCTATATATGTAACACGTTGTACTGGCTTTTTATAATTGCCCCATCTGCAGTAGCTATTAGCGCCTCCCACATTTCTGAAATCAGTCTCTGACCTCTAAATATTGTTCACCACTGGCATAAAATTACAATGTCTAGGAATAGTGTGACATGTTAATTCAACCAAACCCAACTGGATTTACTCCTCAGGAAATAACTTGCAAATATGAATTGGCAACACTGGCTATTCAAAGCACCTCTTGATCTTTCCATGCCTTAACATAAGCTGAGGCATTCACTACTGCAAGGACAATACAATATTAATGCTTCAAAGTTTTTCCTCCCATCCTAAAGGCAGAACTCTTCAAATGATAAAATATGATATTTGACCCTCCTTTCTTTTAGAATGGCTTCTAATTCTCTAAAATCTGGGTTTTTTTATTTTATTTTTTAAGAAAGGGATATGTGTGCATACATATAATAAAAGTTTAAGGTGAAGAGTGTTCCAAGATGTTTTGACACCTAAGGTACACATAACCTCTCATCCTTCCCAGTGACATTAGGTCCCTTCCCTCATTAACAAAAACCGAGGGTCTTGGCTGGCATTACCATTAGGTAAGAGGTTGTTAATTTTAGATCGTATGAATGCATAGAATTTTGCTAATTACTTGATGCTGATATTGTATTTTTACTACCACAGAGAGGGTGAATTGCAGACGGATTTTTCTGCCCCAATGAGAGAATGTCAAGACTGGTTTCTGAATCTATGCATCTTGATTTGGGGTCCAGAGTTGGGTGACACTTATTGCTTTGCTTCAGGTAGAGACATCTAAAATATCCTCCCTTTTTGTGCTAAATAACACTCCTATATTAATCTAGGAAACAATAGTTTTACCACTCCCACATATACTGCATTCTATTTTTACTACACTGCTTTTTTCCCATAAGTCCATTACTAAATTCCATAAAACAAACTGAGGCAAGTTATAAATTGTCTTTTCGGTTTTCATTTCTTGAGAATGCCATCTAAAATATTAATACACAAGCAGATTTAGCTGGGTTCATTAAGCATAAGAGTAATTGATGCATTCAAAGCAGAATAGCAAGCAAGGCATATTGTGAATTTGCATATGTTGAAAGCTTCATCTCCACCCTTTCTCTCTCTCCCCCCCCCTCCCCCGGGTTATTATGAGTGCATTCTTTTAGAAGAGGCTTTAATTTGTGAAATCATCCTCAGTCATAACCCTTTTACAGGGAAGGAATCCAAGTAACATTCCCTTCAGTTGTAACTCTCCCATTCCTGTCTTATGCTTCCTTGAAAATGTCCATTAAGGTTGCCAGAGCTGCAGAGTGGGTTTTGATTGGTAGAGCAGTCCCTCTGGCAGCACTTTGACAGGTGGCTGGCAGGTAGGATGGAAACATATTATTTCTCCTTTAAGCAGGTGCTTTTTTTTTTTTTTTTGAACTACCCAGGTAAGGATCCTAAGCAGGATGCAAAGCAACAGGATGCAGTTAAGGCTATGCTCATTTCCTTAGTGGTAACTCCCATCTGGAGTCTGGTAGTCGATTACATTGTACAAGAGGAACATTCACCAGGCTATGACCAGTGCCTCAAGCCACCAGTTAACCACAACTCACTCCTCACCTACTCATCTAAACTATACACAAAAGTGCTAATCTCGCACTGGGCGGCGGGAGGGTAAGCGGCCACTCTCTGACTTTCCCATGCCCGCCGCCGAAATGATATTTTAACAGAGGTTTGAGCTCGAGAGAGACGAGACAAGCCGCACTCTTAACTCCGATAACCCCTTGTTTCAGCTGCACGCAGCCTTAAGCTAAGGCGAGCCAAGCTACCGAAAGGGAAGGAGGTAGCGGTGATGATGAAGCGGCTATTATCTGGTCTTTGTTCCAGCCTGCCGCCGAGTGATGCATTCGTCCAAGCAAGCTCGGGTTCCCTTTGATCCATTTCAGAAGAGGGAACATGGCCGTGGACGTATTTCTCCTCAAAGGTGAAGCTCCCTTATCACCACAACTGAGCAGATATGAAAGGGGAACCGTAGCGGACTCTTGGCTACCACTGGCCGGGGATCCACCACCTGCTCATTCGGTTCGTAGAAAGGCGGAGAGGGAAAAGACAGATTACCTGCGGAACTCCCTGCAGTTGGACTCCCTCTCTTGCTCCAGGCACGGAAGAGGAGAAATTGGACCGCGCCGAGGAAAGTAACACTGAATCTCCCTACAGCGACAGGAAAGCTAAGCAACAGCCGGCAGCCGCTTTAGAAGTGGGAGAGCAGCTCCGCTTCTCCCCTCCTCCTCCCCTCCCCCTTTTTTTTAGAAAAGAGCCAGAGCTTCTCTATTGGGCCATCTTCTGAGCCGGCCGAAGGAGAGCGAAAGCGAGCTGGGATTGGCTGAAGAGGATTGTGGGCGCGGCAAGTTACGTATGGGAGGCGGGGTGTTCCCTCCCTTGGGCGGCCGGAATAGTGTGGATTCCCTGTTTTTAATCCGTCGCACAGATACACAGATGTGTAATAATTTAGTACCACCATTCTAAACGTGCGTTAGCTATATTTTCCGCACGCTGAAAATGCTGCATCCCAAAGAGCGGCGCCAAACTAAGCAGTTGTTCGTGCCTCTCTCCTCCAAAATGGACAGCAGGTGGAATTGAACCAGGGGTGAAATCCAGCAGATTCTGACAGGTTCTGGAGAACCGGTAGCGGAAATTTTGAGTAGCTCGGAGAACCGGCAAATACCATCTCTGGTTGGTCCCAGAGTGGGGTGGGAATAGAGATTTTGTAATATCCTTCCCCTGGGAGTGGGGAGGGAATGGGGATTTTGCAGTATCCTTCTCCTGCCGTGCCCACCAAGCCACACCGCACCCACAAGCCACGCCCACAGAACCTGTAGTTAAAAAATTGAATTTCACCACTGAATTGAATGATCAATATAGCTCTGAAAGATAAATTTAAAATGTTTCTGCGTTTTCCAGAAGCCAATCGAAATGGAAATTTATTAATCTCAAGGAGAAATTGATAAAAAAAAAAGACCTTACTTTTTATTATACCCTGTTTCCCCCAAAATAAGACATCCCCTGATAATAAGCCCAATCGGGCTTTTGAGTGCATGGCAATAAGGCTTATTTCAGGGTTCAAAAAATATAAGACAGGGTCTTCTTTTTGTAAGTCTCTCTGGATTTCACTCACTTAGGTCCAAAGCAAAGTTCCACAGCAATGTGTTTCCTTTTGGCATGGATTTTGACATTTTATAACAACAGAGCGTTAACATTTATTTTCTCACACTTGCCTCAAGCCACAATGTAATTTGTTTGATTTTGACACAGAATATTGCATGAAACTAGCCACCGTAGCAAATAAAAAATAATTGATGGCTTATATGTGCAAATATAAGAGAGATTCCAGAGGGAGCTTGGGCCATTTCCTGAGGCTTTGGCTCACGACTTGACTGAAGATCTGGTGGCTGCATGGGATAGGATGGCCGCCGGGGCTTTGGATCGTGTCATGCCTTTGCGGCCTCTGACCCGGCGTCACACCTGCCCAGCTCCTTGGTTCACCGAGGAGCTGAGGGGGATGAAACGCCGGAAAAGATGCCTAGAGAGTGGTTGGAGGGCCAGTCGCTCTGAATCCGATCGAACACTAATTAGGTCTCATATTAAGGCCTATTTAGTGGCGATAAAAGCGGCAAAGTGTGATTACTTTTCCGCTCTTATTCCAACGGCAGATAATCGCCTAGCCACCTTGTTTAGAGTGACCCGCTCCCTCCTACATCAGGGAGCGCGGGAGGATCCCTTGCAAGGGCAGGCTGAGGATTTTGCACAGTATCTGCACGATAAAATCACTCAGATTCGGGAAGGCTTGGGTAGATTCTACTGGGTAGATTCCGGCGGGGTGGCTGAGGCAGGTCTTGAGAATGTTATCTGGGACGAGTTCGATCCTGTGGCTCCTGAGGACGTGACAGGATTCTGGGGAGGTTAAACGCAACCACATGTTTACTGGACCCGTGTCCCTCCTGGCTGGTACTGGCTACCCGGGAGGCTACGCGAGGCTGGCTCCAGAGGATTATAAATGCTTCTTTGGGGAGGGTTTCCTGCCACCTGCTTTGAAAGAGGCGGTGGTGAGGCCCCTCCTTAAGAAGCCTTCTCTGGATCCGGCTGTTATGGCTAACTACCGTCCTGTCTCCAACCTTTATTGCGAAGGTTGTTGAGAGTGTGGTTGCGCAACAGCTCCCGCAGTACCTGGATGAAACTGTCTATCTAGACCTGTACATCTCCACCCCAAATCACCTCAACGATGCCCTTGAAGTGATGTCCCAGTGTCTGGAGGCTGTGCGGGTCTGGATGGGGAGGAACAGGCTTCGACTCAACCCTTCCAAGACCGAGTGTCTGTGGATGCCAGCATCCCGATATAGCCAGCTGGCGCCATCGCTGGCTATTGCGGGCGAGTCATTGACCCCCACAGAGGGGGCTCGCAACTTGGGCGTCCTCCTGGACACATGGCTGTCTTTAGAAGAGCATATGATGGCTGTGGCCAGGGGGGCTTTTTATCAGGTTCGCCTGATATGCCAGTTGCGCCCCTTTCTGAGTCCGGATTCCTTATGCACAGTCATGCTCTCGTCACCTCTTGCCTGGACTATGCTAATGCTCTCTACATGGGGCTCCCCTTGAGGAGCACCCGGAGGCTCCAACTGGTCCAGAATGCGGCTGCGCGGGTGATCACGGGAGTGACATGGTGCTCCATATAACACCTCTCCTGCGCGAGCTGCACTGGCTTCCGGTGGTCTTCCGGGTGCGCTTCAAGGTGTTGGTTCTCACCTTTAAAGCGCTCCATGGCTTAGGGCCAGGGTACTTACGAGACCGCCTTCTGCTACCGATAACCTCCCACCGGCCAATACGCTCTCACAGAGAGGGCCTCCTCAGGGTGCCGTCAGTCAAGCAATGTTGGCTGGCGGCCCCCAGGGGGAGAGCCTTCTCTGTGGGAGCACCTGCCCTCTGGAACAAGCTACCTCCCGGAATACGGCTGATTCCGGATCTCCGCACTTTCCGTAAGGCCCTGAAGACGTTTTTATTTCAGCGAGCCAGCCTGGCCTGAATAATTTTATGGGTTAGTTTTTTAATTGTATTGCTAGGGGTTTTAAATTGAGGCGGCCGTTTAATTTAATTTATTTTTAATTATTTTAACTTTTATATTGTATGTTATTTTAATTCTCGGCTGTTCACCGCCCTGAGTCTCTTCGGGGAGAAGGACGGGATATAAATTTAATAAATAAATAAATCCAGTTACAGCAATGCACTATTTTATTAATCTTATGTTCCAATAATCATAAGGCAACCAATGTGATTAGGAATTTTATGTAAATTATATCAGAGAACATCAGGTCCAGTGTATTTGTTACTTGTAAGAAATCTTGCTTTAATATTTTGTAAATTGTCCTGAGTCGCTTGTGTGTAAATTCGAGGGAGGGAGAAAGAGAAATGCGGAATCTAGTCTTACTGGATTAGTAAGAGAATGAATATGTTTTAACTGCAGCAATCCAGGGCAAGTATAGTACATAGTAAAAATTGTAAATTATTTTTGCATGTCTCATTACTTTTAACTACAGGTAGACCTTGACTTACAACCAATTGTTTAGTGACTACATTACTAAAAACAGTGACTTATGACTAGTTTTCACACTTACAAACATTGTGGCATCGCAATGGTCATGTGTGTATTATAGAAATAGTGTATGCTATTGCATTTTAGAGCAACAGCTTGTATTTTATCTTTGTAACTGTATTGAAGAAAGTTGAAATTACTCTTTTCTTACTTTTTTTTCATTTCTTGGACTTTTCCTCTTATTTAATTTTACCTTTTGTAGAAATTTAATAAAGTAATACACATACACACAGTCACTGCAATGAGATTGGGTGCCATATAAATTGTCTACATAAACCAGCAAATGGTATCTGCCAAGGAGGAACAAAATTTGAGTCAGTCTGGTCTAGTGGTTAAGTCTAGAAACTAGTAGTCTGAGTTCTAGTCCTGCTTTAGGATGAAAGCTGGTTGAGTGACTTATGGTCACTCACTCACTCTCAGCCCAATTTACCTCACAGGGTTGTGGAGAAAATTGGAGGAGGGAATATAAAGTATGTTCACAGGCTTGACCTACTTATAAAAATAATAAATGTGGAATAAAGAAAAAAATATCTACAACAGTGTTGCCCAATTTTTAATTAAAGAAACCTACCATCTACAGAAATATATTCAGTGCTTTTAAGATGTGGTAGTAACTCAGTTGAGGACATTGTCTTCCAGTTAAGAAAAGTTCCCTTTTATCTGAACAGGCTTTATCCAGTCATCTATCAATTTCACATACTATTTCAGAATAACAATTACCTGAATTCGATGAAAATCTGAAACAGAATTTAGTATTGTTCCTCTAATATGAAGGGGCAGAACAATGATGAAGCCAACAGGATTAGTCTATGTCCTTCAAACCCTGCCCCCCTTTGATACACTTATTGAAATGGGCAGCCATATATATTGAATAAACGGACAAATAATCATAGGTTGAAAATATATATTTTCTGTATAACAATATTTTATAAGTAATTAACATAAATTTGAATATCAATCAGTCAGAATATAGGGCAGGCACAACTATCTGTCTCTGTTCTTTCAAAAACTCAACTGTGCAACCCCAATACTTCGTTACTGCAGAATGCAAAAACCAAGTTATATATTTCCTTCCCTCCTGCTCTTTTGAGTCAACAGACTCTTTGAGAGTTCTTTTCTCAGTCTTGACATTGAAGTGTACCTGTTCCATGTTTACATAATGATTCTGTCTGCCTAAAAACAGCTCGAATGTGAGTCAATAATCTGTTTGGGTAGTTCATGCTGGAGGGTAGGAGGGGTCTGGATTTGAACAATTTCCCCTCAAATGTACAAGCTCATTCCTATTGTTTGGGAGTGTTTTTTGCAGATTGAACAATTTGCGTGAACTTCAATAAATAGCCTTCAATAAAACAAACAAAAAGTAAAAGAAAGGAGTTATACAATTAGATTGTATTATTTCATTCTGATGAACATTAACTCATTTTATAATTCTTCATTTTGTGTTTTTCTCCTCAGGCAAAAATTATGAACTTAATTCTTCATTTAAAATATACATACAGCATAATCTAGGTAAGAAATATTCTACTCTATTTTATTGGAAGTTTAAGCTAGTTCTTATCTTTTAAAGTAAATGCAAAATATCCATACTCTTGCAGTTTCCTTTTAAAATATTATACATCTCAAATCACTTTTAAAAATGCAATTCCAAAAATTACTAAATGTCATGAATATAAACTAACAATAAGTCAGATCAGGAAACAGAACAAAAATGAAGCTAAATAACTCACATCTAGTTTATTCTGTATGTAAAACAAAAATAAAGTGGAGATGCTAGAAAAGCTGAGCAATGCAAAATAAACAACTTTGTTACTCTTATTTCAACAACACATTTATTAAGGGTATATTCAATTTAATAGTTAATATTGTCTATTTTGTACACAAGTGCTGGATTGTAATGTTAATACTATTGAAGTATTTTTTTAAAAAGTTTCAAAATAAATTGGAAGTAGATTGGAATTGTTTTAGTGAACCTTTAGGACTATTGACATACAATGATCTAATTTCTATTTTTACCTCATGCAGTGATTGACTGGTGGTGCTGTTCACTGTGACAGGCATCTGACTTAAATTTGTCCCCAAAAATCAGGTTAGGGGCTTGTTTAATGTCACAGCAGCACTGTCATGGCAATTTCCCTAAGCACGTTGAGTCTTTCATTATAGTATGCATTAGAGTGGTTGCTCTTACAACTATCTAACAGATTAGAGGCCAACAGAAAACAGCTTGCCTGAAAGCATTGAAGTCTGGCCTTATTACATTATGGCTCGCTCATTTCAATCTGGTGTTACAAATCTGCATTGTTTCTCAAATCCTGCTACTTTTTTTAAAATGTAAACTCTTTTGAGTGTAACAAAACTTTGCAATAAAGTGATGTTTAAAGTTATCAGGAAGGCTGTACTATAGAGAAATCCTTACGTTCTTTAGAGGGAATGAGATTAGTATTGTACAAAGAATTTCGTTCCCATGGTGACTGCTAAACAGAGCGTACACCCCCAAGGGTTGTGAATGCCCAGACATATGCTGCCAGAAGGCAGTGGGTTGTTCTTTGCCCATTCTTATGCTGGAAACTGTTCTTATGGACATAAACGGCTTTCTTTTGTCTACCCTTATTAATGTATATTATATATATTGCAGACAAGACAAAATATCACTACAAATGATACACACAAGAATAATGCTCGCTTATTCTTCCAACACATTCATTGGGTATAAAGTACATAAAAACATAATTCTTAGCAATTATCTTATGGCAGGAATACATGATGACGTGTATATTTTAGAACTCAATGAGAAAATAAACAATGGATTACAAATCATTATTGAATTTGAAAGATGGGAATGTAAAGTTTAACAATATGAATCACTGTTTTATCAAAAATATCTTTAATAAAAGGCAACACAAGTTCTCTTACAGCATTCATTACAGGCCAATCACCAAAGTGGCATCTTTATTTAACAAGATATAATACAAAATGAATCTGTACATTTCTCTATTAACAGATTTTGTTTACAGCTATATTACACTTTTCCAGCCTTTATACTGCATCATCTTAAATACAAAAGAAAATTTACAAAACCCCTTATACACACTTAGTGACTTATCCTTTTGTCAATGTATGTCAGTCCAAGTCAGACATACAGATTTATTTTCTCTCTGCAAATGCATTCATTCAAATCATACCAATTCTTTGAAAAAAATTCAGTTTATTGTGCTCTGTTTAAAATATTAAAAGACTGGAAGGGCCTGATACGTGGTGATCATTACCAATAGCAAGCAGAGCATTTTGGCCCAAGTCCAGCTTCAGACAGACAGGACTTGCATGTTTCTATCAATATTAATTTGCACTAAAGCCTTGTGTTCAGACGCACTGAGCTTTCCACTCATATCAACTGAATCATTTACACCAGGGATCTGTGGTGTGGAGATACATGGTTTTACTATAATAGTGTTGCATGTGCAAGTGTTTGCACCTGCTTGAAACCTTACATTCAGCAATTGGCTCTAACAGTGATGGCTACACCTTTAGTCGGAGTACGGTACATTTAATTTCTTAAAATGCAGAATAACTTGCTCTCAGGTTTCTTACCACTATTAAGGAACAGAATTAATACACTGGAATACATTCTCAAAGATCAATATTCATCCTCATGTACAGCCACATTGCAGATTCTAGATTAAGATGCTTTATATTACAGAGGAGGAATGCAGATCCTAACAACCTCACCAATGTGGTAAAATGTTTGTCATAATTTCAAATACTCTTGACTAAATTCTCAAAACAGTTTGGTCTACACAGAATAAATTTTTCCATACGTATGCATAGCATGTTAATGCAGCTAACAATCTGAACTATAATATTCAAACAGTATATAATTATATTCCCCAAAACATTCTTCTGATAATATTTTCCATATTTGGTAAAATAAAGATTTTTTTTTAAAAAAAAGATTGGGTAAGAAAAATTACTAAGTTTAAACAGAACTTTAATTGCCTACACTAAACCAACTTTATGTTCTAATCCTACTTGGCTTGCTACAGCCATTTTGTTTTTATAGTAACAGCCTTTAAATTCCAGTAAGTTTAGAAGAATGCCTTTCAATTATAACAATTTGTGTTCAGAAATTTGATTCCTGTCAACTAGCCTGTTTAGATTAAGTTTAATTCACCCTCCTCCCGAAAATTAGTGGGTTGCTTACTAAACTCTACTGCATATTAAAATTTAAAAATTAAAGTCTCTTCCCTAGCATCAACAGAACTAAAGTACTTCTATTCTGGTAGTGTTCATTTTAATTAAAAATAAATGGTAAAAGTTCAATTTAGAATAGATCAGAATAATCAAAGATACAATTGTCTAGGCAGATAACCTAGAAAATCTACAAATTCTTAAATCCCTGAGTTAGTTTGATGCTTTTCAAAAGCACATACAACCTAAATCAATATTTTTATATAGATGAGGCAACACTAAAAACAGGAAGTATGAATATTGCTTATCCTGACTTTTGAAAGCAAAAGATCAAAGGGTGTAAAATGTTGCAATTTTGTATTTTCTTTCAAGTGCTAGATGCAGGATATTACATTAAGTGAAATTTAAGCATATAGAATCCATCGTTACATTCCTGTAATTAAGGAGCAGAAATAATAGCTCACCATAATAATTAAAAGTAATGTCAAAGGGAAAAGTCATTGGAAATGTTTTAATCATTTTGAAAAATTACTACTTATATTTCAGAAAAAAAAAGTTTTAATATAATAATTTGGATTTTATGTTAATATAAGTTTCTGGAGTTCATCACATAGGAGTCTGTACACAATGCACACAAGGGCAGACCATTATTCATACTAAAGACTTGGAACATTTTTCCATTTGCACCTTTTACTGGAGAAGAGCCAAGGTTTCTCGAGGCAAGGTTTTTTTTTTCTTCTGAAATAGGTAAATTTTCTACAAATTATTTAAAAAAACTGCAGCCCAAATAACTGAACAGATTTTAATTAGTTTCCTTTTTTTTTTTTTTTTTGGACATCTTATATTTATTGCAAGAAAATTTTCATCTTATCCAATGTGTACAATTGGAAGGAAAGCTCTGTCTACACAACTACCTGCTTCAGTAATACTGCTAAGAAACATGCCTTGCTGTTAAAACAGCTTCCTGTAGATATAAGCAATCCTGTTAAAAATATCCTTGTATTTTAGATTCATACAAACTCAATTTCTCTCTCTCCACTTTCATTATAAGGGGACTTCTGTTGTTCCCGTCCTGTATTCTAAACTTACTCGAGGGAGCCTACTGCTATATACAGAAGTTGCATACTTCTTAAATGCACTTATGAGATTTAGTTTCCAGAGAACAGCATTTCATTATATTATTCCATCTAGGGTACTCAAGATTATATAATGATGCACTAGAACCATCTACGTTTGCAAAAGTAGCAAAAAGTATTTTTTAAAATTGGGCCTTCAGCCAAAATTTATTGTCGTTTTCCTAGTAGAGTACTTAAAATTTTCATAAATTAATATTACAGCAAAAATAATAAGTTATTTTCATGACATTGCAAAGGAAATTTTGGGATTAGATTTCTACAGCAACTCATATTAACTCATCTCACTGTTTTGAAAATTTCCATGTTTCAATCTTAGCCATGCACTCTATTCCCATTTTGCAAAGGTTTAAAAATCACATGCATTCTACCCAAATCTGGCATAGTTGGTATAGCTCATAATTGCAAGGTTGTTATAAAACAACACTGTTAGGATAGTCTAGCATATGCATATTCACTGACTAGTTCTCTAAGAGCCATGTGCAGCATAACATCAGAGTGCATATTTTAAAGAGATATGTAGATAGCAGTTACATTAATAACACTTAATTGCACAATCTTCAACCCCAAATAAGTCTGAATCATAAGAATATATTATGATGGACTGAAAAGCAAACCAATGATATCCAATGAGAAAATACTTCAGAAAAAAACCACTGAAATAAAGAGGTTGATTAACACTGGTCGTTTTTTCAGCCCATTGCTTGGATAATCTTGGCATACTTGTGAAACAATAAAAAAAAGGAAGACTTAACAAGCTGCCTTGTACACTTGGGAAAAGATATACCAGAAAGATTCTTGAGTGTGCATAATTCAAGCAAGTCTGAATGCTAAACAAAAAAGGTTTCATCTTATTTAAATAGTCATTGCACAGGTGTAGTTCGTATTTTAAACCTGACCTCTAGAAAGAGTAGCCCATGAATATATATCTGTTTATAACTGGTCATTCTAAGTTAAAGCATCCAGACCCTCATGGCTGATACCACTACAGAGGTTATGTTGGTTTCAAAATAATTGGGAGAACCATAAAATAAAGTCCGGTTTATCACAATCACAAACATATTTGGAAAAGACTACAACCATTTACTTAAAAGAGCACAAGGTCTGATATTCTCATATTAAACCTCATAATATATTTCTTTTTGAACAATCAAAGGACAGTTGAAAAGGGCACTGAATGAACTAAATATAGTAGGCATGAAGTAGCACACTTCTTTTTCATAAAATCTATTTTGTTATTCCATTGGCACTGAAATAACATTCCACTCCATCTCAAAAAAGATGCATATCCCTGAAAAAAGGCATAATTCTAAACTGCTTTCTCAATTCAATACTTTTTTGAATCTTGTGTGCATGTAGCTATTTGATCTGTTGTCATAAGATCACAAAAAGAGTCCTATCTAGAAATTCCAGTTCACTTCATTGAACCTCCAGCTGCTACTATTGGGGTGGCTGCTGTTCTGGAGCAGGTTCTTGAGGAGGTACCGCTGGTCGTGGCCCCGCAGGCCTTGGGACTCCTTGATGCTGCCTCTGCCTGTAAGCTATTACTGTACCCAAAAGTAAAGCAATGATGGTCATGAGGTAAAGGTCCCACTCAGGACCCAAGAGTTGGTCCATGTCCAGGTGTGAAAATATCTCCTTGACCTAAATAGAAACATTGGGGGGGGGGGAGAGAATTAATTCATACTGTAACCCCAATGTGTATGAAATTCCTCATAGATTCAGCATCTTTCTAAATGACAAGAGTACTATGTTTGATGGACAGTAACAATGCAGAAGAAATAATTCAGTCCTGGTATGTGTGATGTAGGAAAATATTTAGTTTCAAATTAAATGAGTTCAGATCAGTCACAGTTAGGTGCAACTGATGCCCAGATTTGGGATAAAACAACATCTGAAGGAGATGAGGCAAGTTGTGCACATGGCCTCCTCTTTTCTCTACAGAGCAGCTGCCAGAGCAGTATAGGCCTAGTGTTCTCAGTGTCTCTCCAACTTTTCCTTCAACTGCCACCATGGCTGATGGACAGCCTGCATATATTTTTTGGTTTTTGATTATTTTAATGGGTTTTAATTTATGTTTAAATTATATATTTATACATTTATGTATTTTATGTATGCATATTTATGTATTTTATGTTTTATTGGGTTTGTTTTTATTTGTTGTGAACCGCCCTGAGTCCTACTGAGATAGGGCGGCATACAAATTATATTAATTAAATAAATAAATATATGTTCCTTTCCTGACAGCTTTAGCACTAAGGAGGAAGCTTCCACTACAGCCTATCTCATTTGCTTTTCTGCTTGTCATCCCAGGAGTGAAATTCAGTACGTTCTGACAGGTTCTGGAGAACCGGTAGCAGAAATTTTGAGTAGTTCAGAGAACTGGCAAATACCACCTCTGGCTGGCCCCAAAGTGGGATGGGAATGGAGATTTTGCAATATCCCTCCCCCAGGAATGGGGATTTTGTAGTATTCTTCCTCTGGAGTGGGGTGGGAATGGAGATTTTGTAGTATCCTTCCCTTGCCATACCCACAAGCCACGCCCACAGAACTGGTAGTAAAAAAATTTGAATTCCACCACTGTGTCATCCCCTTTCTCTCTTCCACAGATTTATGTGCCTGTCTGCCTATTCTTCATGCTGATGCTTCTGTTGATAAAAACGGGCTCCTAAAAATGGCATATCACACTCTCCTTTAATTTCGCTCCCTCTCTCTGGCTGTCAGTATCCTTGGCTTTTTCCCCATTTCACCCAAGCCACTTGTGCCTAAAACAAATAACACACTTGTTTCCTTCTGTGGACAGGCTAAAATCTGTGGACAGGCTATTTTGCTGAATATTAATTGCTAAGGCTTAATAGAATGAGAGGGCTTCTATTTTCATGGTCACAGATTTCCTGCATGTTTTCTGGCAGGATAGTGGACTAGATGAGATTTTCATATTCTGTGCTTTGATGGTAGGAAAGTTACAGTTGTTTCAGCAGATCTAATTTGGAACCCAAGTTGGAGTGAGTATGTTCTGAGGCTAGACAGTTTTTGCAATACTTGGAATAGCATGTTTGGATTGTCAGAAAAGTTCCTCACAAGGATATTAGAACAGCCAGTTTTGTGCAATGCAAATAGTCCTTGGTTAAGACCATTTGTTCAACAACTATTTGAAGGCACAACAGTGCTGAACAAGTGGCACTTACAACTGGTCCTTGATATTCTGGCTAAACTGAACTGAACTGAACTCAAAAGCATTACATCTGATCAAGAAATATAGAGATTTTACACCATTACCATAGAAATGGAAATAAAATTCAAAATATTTTCTCAGCCAAATCCTAGAAACTGTTCTATGTTAAAAACCATTTTTGCTGTAGGTAGGTAGGTAGGTATGTGTGTATATTATATATATATATATCTCACGCACATAAATCCATCAAAACTTAACACATGAAAGAAAAGCTATCACCACTACATAGATTACCTTAAATAACACCATTTTCTTCATCATTACTTACATTGGTTTCTCGTACATACTGGAAGGCATAAATAATTCCTAACTTGCAAAGTGCAAGGAAGACAGGAACCTGAGCATCAGGACTAGCATCAGCTGCCATATCATAGAAGCGTTTTGCAAGGTGAATGTCCTACAACATATACAATACACGAAATTTGCAAAAACAGCTAACCAAATCATATGAATATTGTACAGGGAATCTCTTTTCTTCCTTTCGTGTATGTATCTCACAAGAATTACTTACTGTACATGTGTTAATGGAATAAAATTTACTACTGTTCTTTAATAATGCTTATGACAGAATAATAAAAAGTTAACAAGAACTTTGGAAACTATGGTTTTAAATAGTTATATCTTGTGCTTTTGACTGTCACTACCATTTTGCATCACACTAAAACAATTTTATCAATCCAAATAATCTCTACTCAGAGAATAATATAATTTGATTATTTTGGTCAAATGTCTGAAATGATTACTTACAGAATCTTCTGAAGCTAGGCTGAAAGCCACATGTTTACTTCTGACTTACAGTATACCCGGGATGTCAAACTGGTGGCTCATGGGCCGGATGCGGCACATGCTGACCATGCCCACCCCCAATTTAACAAAGGGGAAAACTGTCATGACACATCACATGACGACAATGTGATGCCGCGAGTTTGACACCCCTGTAGTATACTTGTTTAAAAGCAGACGATGTTGACAGTCTTTTGAAACATATATTTGTGTTACTGCAAAACTATGGGAATAACTATGCACTTGCTTACCTGCTTAATCCCAAGTCCTTTTTCATGCATGTATCCTAAATTGAACATGGCTTGGGCACTGTGCTGTTGCTCTGTTGCCAGGCGATAATGAATAAATGCAGTTTCATAATCAATTTCTGTGCCAAAGCCGTAGAAATGATAATCGCCAAGTTTTAGTCTAGCAACAGTGTAACCTATCAAGAAAATAAACTCTATGAAAGGACTTGTAACATTGTTTAGCTATTTTTCATTCCTTTCAAGATGCTCTAATTAATGTGGAAAGAACAGACTTGCACTGAAGACAGAATCTGTATCTGTCTCCAATTCCTGTTATTTAGAATTTTATTTCTAGATTGAATTAGTTCAAAAATGATGTTTTCACTTCAAACTGACTATGGCAACTAGTACAACAAGCATATGAATGCAGAAGCCTAATACTCCAAATCTTTCTATCAAATATATTTAGATTCAGTTTTCTATTAAAATGTATGGCACATTACTATCAAGATCTGCTTTCAGTTGTTAAACAAGTACTGCTACAACTCCTTAGTATGATAAAAAATCATCCACAACAGCTCAGTTCTTGAGGCTACTGCTAGGAAACTGGACTAAATTCTGAAATGACTGACCTTGTGAGGCTGCTCTGTTCCAGTGTAATAAGGCTCTGGGATAGGTTTCATTCTCTTCTATTATGCTGGCTTCTTCTGTAGTATGAGGAAAAAAAGGTGAGACAGCAAAGGTCCAAGTCATTTCTTTTCCTGTCATGTATTAATCATGTAACCCATTTTGCTGTTTTCCCAACGAGCATCACAAAAATAGAGATGAACAGAACTTGAACCTGAATTACCTGAACAAGAATACCCTTGTTTGCAAGCATGTTAATCAGTTGAGGGATCGTGGTGATTACTGAATTCTGCAAAGTTAAAACCCAGTGGAGTCAGAGCTTACTAGTTGTCTCAGATGTCTGGACAGAGTATTTGTCCTCATTCTATTTTATTATGACAAAAGGCCAAAAACATAACATGAAAATAATAGGCCCAAGGTTCATAATTTGTTCGGATGGAGCGAACAAAGACTTCCAGAAGTTGTATATTTAAAAAAAACTGTGGAAGGAGAAATTATTGAATATGTGACTGAAGAGTTATCTTGGTAAGGTTATGTAATTCTAATTAACTAGTAAAGAAAATAAATGAAATCCAGTTTGGTTTCTGACTTCACCCTGAGTCTTGACTGCCATTTAATGTACAATGTACATTAAATGTATATACAATGTTGAAAGTAAAATGCTACTTTCAAGCTTGGCAAAAAGTTATGCATCCTGAATTTTATACAGACATTTTGTCAAATGTATACAAAAACCAATCGCAATCCAGAAAATAATGTTTGGGTCACATCTGAAATACACACTGGATTTAAAAAAGAATATCCCTCTTTTCTACTCTATCTAGCGAAGAAATGCAGAAATGCTTGGAGTCTTATACGAGCTGTTTGGGCCCTTGTCTGTGAGTTTCATTTATATTAGCACTGCCTCGTTCATATAAGTCATGCAAATACTTCACATCTCCACTGAAGTCATATATTTCGATTTTAGGTCAGTGAAGGCTAACCTTTTTGCCATCGCGTGCCAGGAGAGGGGGGGCGGGGGAGGGTCGCGCGCGCGCACGTGCCCACGTGCGCCTCCGCCCCTGGCACATGATGGCCTGGTAGGCCCGTTTTTCTTTCTTACCTGGTTCCAGATCCTCTCTGTGTACCTGGGAACGGCGAAAACAGCCTTTCCCACTCCCTTGGAGGCCCTACAGAGGCTGAAAAAGCCCATTTCCCAACTCCCGGTGGAACAGGAAGTGACATTTTTTGCTGTCCCCAGCCTCCAGAACCTCTCTAGGAGTCTGTAGGAGCCTCTCTAGGAGTCTGTAGGAGCCTCTCTAGGAGTCTCTGGAGGCTGGGGACAGGAAAAAACGTCACTTCCTGTCCCACCGGGAGTGGGGAAATGGGCCCTTTGAGCCTCCATAGGGCCTCCAAGGAAGTGGGAAAGGCTGTTTTTGCCGTTCCCAGAGGATCTGGAGCCAGGTAAGAAAAAAAAACGGGCCTTCCCCCCTCCCAGGCCCTCCAGAGGCAGGAAACAGCCTGTTTCCCTACTTCTGGTGGGCCCAGAAGGCCCGAAAATCAGCTGGCCGGCGCCCCAGAGCTGAGCTGGCGTGCTCACTAATATGGCTCCGCGTGCCACCTGTGGCACGCGTGCCATAGGTTCGCCATCACAGTTTTAGGTTATGAGATTAACTTTCATAAATTGAATGGGATAGAAAGAATTTAGAAGCTGATGCAATATTAGATAACTGGCTAAACACTCATTTTTTTGCAAATATAAAGTTATCTAGGCTACTTCAATTTGACAAAGTTTACGGCACTAAATTTTAGCATTGCTAATAGACCATCTGCAAACATAACTATTACTTTTTGCTGCACATAGGATGGTAGATACTGATAAGCAAAGAACAGAGGAGATGAACTCCAAAATATATGTATGTTAATTGATACCTTAATGTGTTTTGGATGAAATCTATTACTAAGAGGATAAGCAGAAAATTTACATTGGCTGAATCAGTTCAGCAGTTTGCTGTCTGTTGGCAATGTTAAACACCATCTGTTTATGCATTTTCAATCATCCAATTATTTAGTACTGGGAAGAAGTATTAATAACTAACTCTTGGGCTATTTTTTAACTAGTTAAAAATCTACAAATTCATTATTCAATATTATTAAAATAGAAGTGAATTTATAATTAGTAATTGATGTATTGACATTATCCATCCATCCATCCATCCATCCATCCATCCATCCATCCATCATTTAAAAAGGAAATAAAATGAATGCTTTCATTTTGAAATGGCATTTAAATAGAATTTTCACTCGAGTCTAAGGTTGTTAATTGAGCAATCAAAGGGGGGGAAAAGAAACATTTCATTAAACTCTGTTTATAGTTCTAGAATACTAATTTCAGGATGCTATTGAATTTTTAATTTTTTTTCATGGGATTACGAATTATGCTTCATTCATAATTCATATGAATATTACACTGATATACCACATGCATTTGTGCATAGGCAAAAACAGCTAAGCAAAAGTAAGAATTGGATGCTAAAAATTACCACTGCATTGTACTAGACCAGCAACACAAGGAACTATTTAATCCTTACTTTGATCAAGAATGAAGGCAGCATTGCTTTGTGCAACCTCATAGCCTTGTTCTGCCAAAAGCAGATACTGAACAACTGCAGAATTCGTATTGCCATCTTTATAGCTGTTGTAAGCAGTCATGAGTCTCTCAGACCAACGGCCCCGTTCACACACATTCTTGAACAGCTACAGGGGGAAAAAAAGATAATTTTTTTAAAGATTCTTTTACAGATATTTCTTTAGTGGCTATTTGGAAATATATTGTAGTTGTGGAAATAATTATCTTGTTCATAGATTCTGCACCAATGTTCAACAGTGCTGCAAAAATGAATAAGAGCAATGAAGCATTAGGTAAAAAAATGATCAAACCTGTTTAAGAACTCACTCAACATCACAAACTCCCAACAAATCTTATTTTAATGTTTCTAGTTTACATTAAATGTTATATCATTGAACTTTTTCAAGCAAGTTCCACAAGTTCATTCTTGAGAAACCACCAAAGGTCCACAGTTTGGTGCATATAGGGAAGAAGAGCGAATAGATTTTATCAGTGGATGCTGCTGTTTTAGCAAGCTAATTCTGTTGTTTGAATTTTTCTTAGAATTCATCTTACTTTATGCGAAACTTTAAAGAACTTGGAATAGCTCATGTTTATAAGCTGGATGAAATGTAAGCCTTTTGTTATCCAAATAGATGACTTCACTCTTTAAACAGCAAACTGTATTCTTCATAGAAAGTCAAGTGATTCTTACCTCAACCGCAGTATGACAGGACCGCATGACTCCGGTGCCAGTGGCATGCATCTGTGCTAAATTGTAGAAGGCCAGAATGTGGCCCCCTTGAGAAGCCAGGTTAAAATATTTATAGGCTTGCTTATAGTCTTTTTTCACTCCAATGCCATCTACAAAAGAAAAGAATCAGCAGGAATAATTGAATTTATTTATTTATTTATTTTTATTTTATTATTCATATTTCTATTCCACACACTCTCCGAGGACTCTGGGCGGCTTACACCAAAGACAGTATACTAAATAGCATATTGCCCCCAACAATCTGGGTCCTCATTTTACCCACCTCGGAAGGATGGAAGGTTGAGTCAACTTGAGCCGGTGAGATTTGATCCTCTGATCTGCTGAACTAGCAGTCAGCTGAAGTAGTTGCAGTACTGCACCCTAACCACTGTGCCACCTCGGCTCATAATTTATGTCCTTTGATCTGTACACTCTCTAAATTTCATCTATGTTGCTATTTCACTTAGTTGACAGTAATAAAATTCACCAGTTCAGTCTGAATTGTGAAATTAAAATACATAATACTAAATGAATTTACGAACCATTCAGTTTCCTATAATTTAGAGTAGTGAGTTTAATGCAAACTTGAAATCTTGCTTTCTGCTTGATACATTATATTTGGTGTCCTAACATATAGCCCAACTTAAAAGAGCTCAGTTTCCTGATCCACTTCCTGGATCAATATAATCAAAAGCCAGAAAGAAAGACTAGGTCACTAAATAAAAGAACATATCAATTTCAGTCTATGAAAATATGGCTTCCATTTGCTTTATAATAAATTTCCCATGTTATTTATGAAATGAGTTTTATTCTTAATATCTTTATTAACTTCTTAATCTGTCCAAAGAATTTCATTTATTAGGCAGAAATAAAAAATATATAATAACCCCAACTAGCCATACACTATTATATTTATTTTTCCAGCTATGAAACAGAGATACACTCTGGTCTGTTATTTAACATTGTTTAAGGATTCATGTTAAAAGATCAATAATACGCAGGCAAAAGAAACTGATTCAACAATGACACTTTTTAAAATGACATGCTTTAAAGGTTAATAACCTAATTTATGGACTATTTTTATGAGGTAAAAATTAAAAATGTTTCTTTTATAAACCAAAGTCTCAATTATTCAATTACTTCCAACATTTTCCTAGAAGAAAATGACATATCCAGTTCCAAAATGTAAATTCTGAATATCAGAAAAAGTCTCTTACTATAATACATGGAGCCCAGCTGAAGCTGTCCATCGACCCATCCTTGCTCTGCTGCCTTCTGGAAGTATTTCAGGGCCAGCTCATAGTTCTAAAGGACACAGATGATGGAGGATCAGTCAGGGTTCTACACTAAAAATCTTCATTGCAGTCTTAAATCTTTTTTATTATGTTTTAATGTGAATATATATATGATGCTTTTAAGTGATAATGAGTAAAATATGAATCTGACTGTGCATTCCATAGCTTCCTTTTTCTTACACTTCATTTGATCCTATGTCGTTCATTCTGCCAACTCTGCCACTCTCAAACATAAAAAATGTTCTTCGATGCATTTCTTCTCTGCTACCTCTTATACTTGGAATTATTTACCTGAACATTTCCACCACCTAAAAGTATATTTTTTCTAATTTCCATTTCAAATGGTATTTTCCTTTTTATCCATGTAAGTGCAATATAAAAGGCTATATAAACAATACGATTCTAATATTGGAAAAGCAACCTCCTCTTTTTAAAATAGAGTTGTTACTCCCATTTTCCTAAGAAGACTTACCACTGGAACACCTCTTCCATATAAATAAGCCATTCCCAGACCACTCTGTCCTACTGGATTGCCCTGAAATATAAGACTGTGATTAAAATCTAATTCAAAACCAGTAACTTGTAAAGAGATAAAATGGGAAGCAAATATTCCAATCCTGAAAAGAAGTTTTTAAATTCAAAACAAAATGGTCATGTTTCCTAAGTTTTATTTTAATGTATATTTGTTAGACTGACAACTCCTCTCCCAGGCATTGCAGTGGGAAATTTAAAACTGTTTCAAAAACTGGTCCAAGCTCCCTGAGGTTGGATTCATGAAATGTTTTGAGTTTTGTTCCGTATAAAACATAAAATATGCAAGATACTGAATCAATGGGGCAGTTTTACCCTGAGTTGAAGACAAACATTCTCTATTTTGTTCACTTCATTACTAAATTGTCCTAATCTTTATACCAAATGTGCAGTATTACAACTCTAATTAAAATAGTATATCAGAACAAATTGAACATAAAGCCTTGAAGAAAATAATCAGACTTGCACATATGAATTATATTGTGTGGGAAAAATGACAGACACCACGAAGTGGTCACTCACATATGTCTTACAAGTATGAGTAATCATCGTGGGAAGACAACAGGAGAAACCACTTAACCGTTTTAGTTATTAATGTGGAAAGTCATAAATGGAGAATACTGAACATTTGTGATTTTTGAAAAATGCACTTTTTATCTAGATTTTCTAAATATATCGGAACAGTAATTTTCCTCAAAAACAAATACATATGTATTTGTTGTGTGTAGAACACTTAGTTTCAAAATGATTGGCTTCCAAAGATACGGTTGTACCGTATATATATGAGTTCTTGTAACCAAGAACCAAGTTCAGCAACCTACCATGTCAGCAGCTTTCTTAAAGTACTGTAGGGCTGTTTCATTGCTTTGAGGTACAATATCACTTCCTTCTGAATACATCTATAAAAACAAATGTAACTGAAAGTTATTAAGAGTCTAATTTTAGAAAAAAATATTTATTTTTTGGCATAAGATCTGGCCCATTTAATGCAGAACTTTTTTAATTATACTGAGATTAATAAAAAACAATAATTTCATTTAAAAGTTGTTTAAATGTAAAACAATTTTGTAAAATTTGTTTTAGATGAGCAATGTATATATCATAACAGGATCTTAGAAGAAAGATTCTTCCTTTGAGAGAAAGAATAGCCTATTGTCCTTTCTGCCAAGGTTCCTTTTGGCTTGATCTAATGGAGACATCCAATAATGGACTAATATTCCTTTCTCATTCTGGAAGAAAGATTTGCATGATCCAGATTTGCCTCTAGGATTGGTTTCTACCATAATAACACCATAAAATTGACTCCTACGGCTAAATTAGTAGTCTTTCTAAATAAAGTAATTCTCTCAATCCTCTTTTAGTGTCTAAAAAAAATTATGAATAAAATTAAGTGTATCAGAGTCATTAAAGGAAAGTAAGCTTAGCAGACACAGTACTTCCTACCCCAATGGGGGTTGTTTGAGAAGTTACTCGTGTTCTCTGTGGGACATACCCATCTAGTGGTCTGAACACCTTAATTAGTTTAGATAACCTCACTAATCCCGAAAAACTCAGTAGAAGCAGACCTAATTGATATTTGGAAGGAAGACTATGAGGGAAACATAAGGGCTGCAGACCATTCATAGAAGCATTGAAAAGAAATCCCTGAACGACTTGTGAACTATTTCTGTATTGTTGTCAAGAAAACTATTTGAAGGTGACTATGAAGCCACTACAATTTGAGCTTGACATGAAGGTCAGCTTACTTTTCAAGGTTTTTGTTTTTAAAAGGAATTACGCACTGATCAGAAGCAATAACAATATTGATATCTCCATCCCAAACCGAGGGCCTAGATTAGGCAGGAAAATTGTGAAAAGTTAAGAGATAAAAGGTTGGTTTCCTCTATTTCATACTCTCATTACATAAATGGGAAATTTATGCATACATAAAACAGTGAATTACGTTAAGTAATTCACTGTTAAGTACAGAAATCTACTGCATAGATTTTGTCCATTATATCTGGTTTTGTCCATTATATCTGAAGTTTGATAAACGTAAGTGCAGAGTTTAACGTGATTTACTTTTGCAGAGGGATCTTGACAATCATCTGAAGAGTAATTTATGTGGCACAGTTAGGACAGATAGGATTTGTAATTTGTAATTCTTTTAGTTTGGTTTATTTGGACCTTGTATGTTTATGGCCGCTAAAGCTAATTCCTAGACTAGCCTAGGAAGGTTTGGGCCTTCTTCATTCTCTATTGAAGTTGTAATGTCAGATATTGCTTTTCAGAAGAACATTTAAATAGACAATCTGACTGACATTTAGCTATCTCTTATTTTCTACAACAATAAATCCTCTAACTATAGTAGTAATCAAAAGGTAATTTCCAAATACACAGCTCAAAGACAATTGTGCCTTACCTTCCCCAAAAATGCCATTGCATGTGAGTTGCCAGCATTTGCTGCTTGGTTGAAGTATTCAAAAGCTCTCTGGAGAAGAAAAAGAGTAGAAATATAAATATAGTGGGGCAAAAAAGTATTTAGACAGCCACCAATTGTGCAAGTTCTCCCACTTAAAAAGATGAGAGAGGACTGTAATTGTCATCATAGGTAGACCTCAACTATGAGAGACAAAATGAGAAAACATATCCAGACAATCACATTGTCTGATTTGGAAAGAATTTATTTGCAAATTATGGTGGAAAATAAGTATTCGGTCACCTACAAACAAGCAAGATTTCTGCTCTTACAGACCTGTAACTTCTTCTTTAAGAGGCTCCTCTGTCCTCCACTCATTACCTGTATTAATGGCACCTGTTTGAACTTGTTATCAGTATAAAAGATACCTGTCCACAACCTCAAACAGTCACACTCCAAACTCTACTATGGTGAAGACCAAAGAACTGTCGAAGGACACCAGAAACAAAATTGTAGACCTGCATCAGGCTGGGAAGACTGAATCTGCAATAGGCAAGCAGCTTGGTGTGAAGAAATCAACTGTGGGAGCAATAATTAGAAAATGGAAGACATACAAGACCACTGATAATCTCCCTCGATCTGGGGCTCCACGCAAGATCTCACCCCGTGGGGTCAAAATGATCACAAGAACGGTGAGCAAAAATCCCAGAACCACACGGGGGGACCTAGTGAATGACCTGCAGAGAGCTGGGACCCAACGTAACAAAGGCTACCATCAGTAACACACTACGCCGCCAGGGACTCAGATCCTGCAGTGCCAGATGTGTCCCCCTGCTTAAGCCAGTCCATGTCTGGGCCCATCTGAAGTTTGCTAGAGAGCATTTGGATGATCCAGAAGAGGATTGGGAGAATGTCATATGGTCAGATGAAACCAAAATAGAACTGTTTGGTAGAAATACAACTCGTCGTGTTTGGAGGAGAGAGAATGCTGAGTTGCATCCAAAGAACACCATACCTACTGTGAAGCATGGGGGTGGCAACATCATGCTTTGGGGCTGTTTCTCTGCAAAGGGATCAGGACGACTGATCCATGTGCAGGAAAGAATGAATGGGGCCATGTATCGTGAGATTTTGAGTGCAAACCTCCTTCCATCAGCAAGGGCATTGAAGATGAAGCGTGGCTGGGTCTTTCAGCATGACAATGATCCCAAATACACCGCCCGGGCAACTAAGGAGTGGCTTCGTAAGAAGCATTTCAAGGTTCTGGAGTGGCCTAGCCAGTCTCCAGATCTCAAGCCCATTGAAAACATTTGGAGGGAGTTGAAAGTCCATGTTGCCCAGCGACAGCCTCAAAATATCACTGCTCTAGAGATCTGCATGGAGGAATGGGCCAACATACCAGCAACAGTGTGTGCCAACCTTGTGAAGACTTACAGAAAACGTTTGACCTCTGTCATTGCCAACAAAGGATATATAACAAACTATTGAGATGAACTTTTGATATTGACCAAATACTTACTTTCCACCATAATTTGCAAATAAATTCTTTCCAAATCAGACAATGTGATTGTCTGGATTTGTTTTCTCATTTTGTCTCTCATAGTTGAGGTCTACCTATGATGACAATTACAGGCCTCTCTCATCTTTTTAAGTAGGAGAACTTACACAATTGGTGGCTGACTAAATACTTTTTTGCCCCACTGTATGTGACAATAATTTTTTAATATAACATCTGACATTCATTCAATTTTTTAATAATCTGCATTATGAATATGAGCAATAGATATACCAGTTTTATATAACTGAATATACTAAAATATGCAAGTTCAACAATTGTTTCGCTTTCTGCATGCTAGGGAAGTATCATTTGTTTGATAGCCTAACCATACCCTTGTTTATTTGAAAGCAATTCCACTGTGATAAATAGTGCTTAATTCCAAGTAGACATAGCTTCAAGGCACAATTTTTGATCCATCAAAAACATGACTTGAGAACTTGAGAAATCTACCTTTTAATTAGCTGAAAGTTATAAATACTTATTATGACTATTATACCTTCCTTTTAATTAGCTAAAGGGTATAAATACTTATTATGACTAGTATACCTTTTTACATTGTGATTTTATGAACCCTTGGTATCATAGTAGGCGGCCTGGTCCACACATTATGAGAATGAAGGATGTGGAGGAACAAGAAGGTGCTATTCTATTTCAGAGGTATTATTTTTAAATGTTCTTCCATATAAGCAATTCCTATTAGTAAACTAGCACTGCAAAGGGAATGAAAGCTGACAAGAACTTGTTTGCTTTATTACTAGCTATAGTAAGTTTATAATAAATAAATTTAATAGAATTGTTATATTAAACAATATATTTAAAGTTATCTTAGAACTGTATTATATTTTAAAAATACCTTGGTTTATTTTAGTTGCATTACTGCGATTTTAATTGCATCATTCCAGTAGCATTTGTCAAATTGACAACTTTAAGACATGTAATTTTCAACTTCCAGAATTCTGGGATTTAAGGTGCATGTATCTTAAAGTTCCAAGGTTGAGAAACACTTCTTTACTTAATGTATAATTTATTTATTAAGTTTCTCACCACAGGCATAGTCTATGCTTCCTTATTTAATATCAAAATTGAATTAAACACTTTCTTCTCTTACATGAAGAAAACAGCATTATTAATAACATTTGCTGCTTATTCAAGCAAGTGAACAGCATCTTCTACCTTTCTACATAAACTTTTCAACATACATCCATGCAGAACAAGTTTCAACAGGCAAGATGGGATGTATTTGTGAGCTGCAGTAAATGCATGCAGACCAATGTCAGGTATGAACTACATAATAGAAGACATTTGTAACTAACTGGAATTTGGCTCCTTGTGCATTGGCCACCCTAAACACTGAAATACCTCCTAGACTCTAGAGCTCTACTGTTATGCTAAGATGACAGCTATTGCAATAAATAGCTTCTCAATTCCAGTTTCATTTTACAAGTTAAATGTACCAACATCTTATGTACTGCCCTACAGATACCTGATGATTTTGCTCTACTCCTCTTCCTCCATGAAGGTGCAATTGTCCAAGCCCTACCTGCAATAGTAATTGAAACATGTTATTCAATTTCCTATCAAGAAAGCGTACTCCGAAGAAAAAGAGTATTAGAACGCACACACTAAAGGGACAACCTCCAAAAAAAGAGGTCAAGGCAATGTTTTAAAGAAAAATTGCCCTGCTGCAATTTTAAAAAAATAGCAATTCACCTCAGAATTGATGAGATACCTACAAGCACTCCATGCTAGGTTTTGTAGAAACTAATGGAGACAAGGCTTTGACACTGTCAGGTGGCAAATAAATGTAATAAATACATATCAGCCTAGGCTCTATCTCCTCAGATTGTTAATTGGGATGTGCAGTTTCTAAAGAAAAAGGGTGGTTTAGAACACATCAGACTGCTCATGAGGCACTTGTCACCAAATGCATCTTTTTTTCCTGAACTGTACTATAACTATGGCAGGCAGCCACACGATTGGAAGAAAAGATACAACTGCCTTAAGTTGCCCAAAAGCACATGACCTTCCAGTGTAATGAAGAACATTTCCCACTCAGATCCAAAGAACAGCAGAGCCATGCATCCACATGAAATTACATCCTGCATATTGAAAACTAATCAGAAAAAAAAAAGGTTTTCTTTACATTTATCCCAAACATAGTTTTCTGCTGAGTAACATTGATTTACACCAGTTTTTTATAACAATCCAAAACAATAAAAGATGGGCAATGAGAAAAAGGCAACACTCTGTACTCCAAAAGTAATCACAAGCTGATGGACAATACCAAATCATGGTTATCATGAGAGCTGTCTAATAATATTTTGTAAGATATTGCTCATTATAGTGTTCTGAAGTATTGATTATTTTACACAAGCTAGCAAAGTATGCCTTTGCTAGCTTGTGTAAAATAATGTCATGGAACCACAGCTCAATGTATTAAGTTTCAGGACACAGAATGTGCAAACTACTTTTAGCACAAACTAAATCGAAATGACTCATGGAAGTATTCCTAGCATTTTGTAGAAAGGAAAGGAAAATATTCTCCCAGCTTTACATAAAATTTGACTCCATCATGTTTTGAAAATATAGTATGCTCTATAACCAACCAAGCTGCCTTTTTAAAAACCTTGGAGGAACTTGCGTTCTTTAAAAAGCTCCTTTAAAAAATGTTATACCTAAAGAGTATAGTTGAGTATTCCCTAACTCGCCTCCTAATAAACTCTCACCATTTCCAACAAATATGGCAAACAGACCATCTAAATAGCACAACCTTGGGGAAAAAACTTCATGTTGTTATTCTTGAATGTCTTATCAGCATCACTATCCTGCGTAACTAACACATACCCTATTATTTTCAAGACCTTTAGTTTGATGTGATTACTTGCATCATTCTCTCAGTAAATAACTTTGCTAATTTTAAGAAGAGCCCTCTTTATTAAATTCCAGGTTACCTGAAGAACTATCTCATCCTGCTAGGTCAGGATCGCTCCACTCGTGCTGACAGAGAGGGCCTACCACGGGTCCTATCAGTGAAAGCCTGGCTGTTGGATCCAGAAGAGCCTTCTTTGCTGTAGCACCTGCCCTCTGGAACATCCTATCCAGCCCTCCCATGGGTGAGATCTGTTCTCACCTTCCTCTTTTTCCACAACATCCCAAAGACCTGGCTCTGCCATTTGGCCAGGGGACCCAATGGGGGAGTATCACACTGGAGATGGCTATTAGATTGATAGCAAACCCCTCCTTTCCTCCTGCATTCCCTGCTTCTCCCTGCCCAATTTTTAATCTCATATTACTGTGTTTCATTGTTTATTTTATTGTGTCACTATATTGTTACTGTTACACTTACCCTTCTTTTCATTTCTCTATTTTTATGTTAATGGCTGCCTACAGTAGTCCCATGGTGATAGGCGGCAAATAAATTTAAGGTATCAACAAACAAATACAGGTAGCCCTCGTTTTACAACAGTTCATTTAGTGACTGTTCAAAGATACAAAGGCACTGAAAAAAGCGACTTATGACCATGTTTCACATTTATCACTGTTGCACCATCTCCATGGTCACATTATCAAAATTCAGATGCTTGGCAACTGGCATGAATTTATGATAGTTGCAGTGTCCTGGGGTCATGTGATCACATTTTTGTGACCTTTTGACAAAACCAGTGAGGAAGCCAGATTCACTTAACAACCATGTTGCTAACTTAACAACTGCAGCAATACACTTAACAGCTGTGGCAAGAAAGATTGTGAAATGGGGCAAAATTTACTTAACAACTGTCTCACTTAGCAATAAAAAAATTGGGCTCAATTGTGATTGTAAGTCGAGAACTACTTGTTTTGTTTCTGGAGATGGGCAGTCAGTGTGCTTCTCTCTACTGTCTTCAGTTGCATTCCCATTTTTGCTTTTCCTTCTCTTTGTCTGGTCCAGTTGTAAACTTTCAAGTGCCTCTTCTCTGTTTCCAGAGACTAAACTGCAAGAATGTACCTTCACCCGCTAGCTAATCAAAAATCGGCTGCAACTGTCTCACCCCTCAGTTAAGCAAGCAAACAAACACAATGCAATTGAAAGAATGAAACTTTTATCTAATTAGGCAAAGAAGCCTTCTTCTGTGAAGCTATTCAACTCCAAAAACTGGCCAAATTCCCTATTCCTGTTCACTCAAGTCTCAATGGAGCTCCCTAACTAACTTTTCTCTTTGCCCTCTTAGTTTGCCAGTTAAATTACCTGTGCTTGAACATCTCCTTTTTCAGCTAAGAACTGATAGTATTGTATTAAATCTTCCTCCAACATTCCACTTGCCATTCCTGGATTTTCTATTTCATCCGGCAGACGAATTCTCTGAACCACTGTGCCTCCAGTAAGAGAGATATCACTAGCCACTAGGGAGAAAGAACAGGGTAGAAACATTTAATTTTATCCTTATATAATTCAGGGTCTAGTGCATATCATACTTTTCATCCACTGAATTACTAAAAGGAATCTTCACCTGTTCTAAATGCCCATTAAATAACTGAGACATACATATTTATAAGCAAACTTATGTCTTTTATTGTGTCATGTGATACAGAAGTTGCTACAAGATAAAAAGTAAGGGAGCCCCTCAAGATTACCTCCAAATTATGGATAATTTCCACGAAGAAAAATGTTTTAGGGATTTGCAAATTAAATTTGGGAGAGGGGGATAGATACAACACTAGCATGAGACAACTAATTTAATAAGTGTGAAGAGGTTCTGCTTTCTATTTCTTTATACAAATATTTGTGGTGCCAGCTAGGTCTCCTAATAAGAGGGTTAAAAAGAACCAATTATTTCAAGCAAGAATAATACACAGTATTGCAAAAATAACAAGTAAATTTGAAACATCTAATTAAGATAATATTGTACCAAAGAAAAACATTCATTATATGCCTGCAATTCTATTATTTCTTGTGGAAAATGAAATAATACAATAGCACAATTCTATTTGCTTAAGATTTCCCATCTCTTCTCCAAATGTACTACAAGATATCTGAATGTTCCAGAGCAAATTTACACCATGCAAGGGATATTTTATTTATTTTAGCAGTCATATTTCTATGCCGCCCACTCTCCAAGGACTCTGGGCGGCTTACACCAAAGACAGTATACTAAATAGCATATTGCCCCCTAACAATCTGGGTCCTCATTTTACCCACCTCGGAAGGATGGAAGGCTGAGTCAACCTTGAGCCGGTGAGATTTGATCTGCTGATCTGCTGAACTAGCAGTCAGCTGAAGTAGCTGCAGTACTGCACTCTAACCACTGTGCCACCTCAGCTCTTTTATTGAACATTTCATATTGAAATGTTTCCCTTCTAGATCTTGTGACAAAACTTATGTCAATTGAAACAAACATCAGATTCCAAGCTTTGCTTTTAGCATTAGTTGGTTACTAGCCATCATATAATCTATATTACCAACCACATTTCTATTTAAAGGGAATGAACTACTCCAGTTTAATGACACAAAATTATCCTGTGTATATGTCAGCTAATGGAAATGCATAGATCTATCTCTCCATCTACTGATGTATATAAATACACGTACATACCATGGTTAGCTACTAGGCGATAATGCGTAAGTGCAGATTCACAGCTCTGAAGAACACCTATTCCAGCCCAGTACCTATAGCCCTGGAAAGAAACAACTACTGTCATAAAGCAAGTACCGCTGTCTTACATTTGAAAATATTCAAAACAGACATAACGTGTTTTTGTTAAATCATTGACAACTTCTGTTTCAATGAACTTCAGGATAAAATGCAATAAGTAAAAACAATAAAACTGAGCAAATCCAAAACCTTATACATAAAATTACAATTACAATGTTCCTTTCTAAAAGCAAATTAATAAATTTATCTCTTCAAAGTAAATTTCTGTGTTCATTGGGATAAATTCTCAATAAGAACAAAACATAGTCATAAAAACTAGAAGATAAGATTGTTATTAGGATTTCGCTGTTTTATGTCATTACTTGTATGGTTGAGAAAGCTCTACTTACCAAAATCATATGTGCTATTAAATTTCCTCCAAGAGCACCGAAAGTATAATAAACTAATGCCTACAAAAACAAAGTGCAGCTAATTAATTCAATTGTTTTCAATGGCATACTAACAGAAACAGACAAAAGATGGTGGCTTTGCATTACCTTCGCCTGGCTGGAATCAACACCAAGACCGGAAGCATATAGAAATCCAAGTGCCTGAAAAAAACATTAAAAACTAGCATTTTTACAAGATTACTTTGATTAGGTATGTTTTCAGAATCCAAATTAAATATCCAGACATCTCTTATAAAAAGTGAACTAGTACCACCATACAATTCAGAGGAAACCACTCCATCTGACCTTTTTTAGTCATAGTGTGTGCGCTGCAATGATGATGGAGAAGCCCATAACAAATGCCACACAAATAATTCCTGTGGGATTTTTTTTTAAAGAAAAAAAACCTGTCGAGCGTCAAGAAGCACTCGACACCGTGACACCACAGAAGGCTGCATGATGGGTTTTGTTTTGACACAGGTGCAGAAAATTTAACACAAAATAGCAACAGTAATAGAATAGCCAACATGAATTTAAAACACACACATGAGTGTTTAGACACACCTGGGCATAGTATGAGAATTTTTCCTGAAGATATATGAGATTCTGTTTTATGAGATGATGATAATAATTTATTATTTATTAAATCTGTATGGAATCAGACTCTTAATGACTCTGGGCTGCTTGATTTCAATTTTATCCAGAAACATTAGCAGTATCTGAAATGTTTAAATTATTGTCCATATTGTATTAGAATGTGTTTTGGATGATTTTAGATCGACAGTCTTTTTTAATAAAGTATATTGCAAGGCTAATATTAGTTTTTTGTCTACAATTCTTGGATAAAATGTTGGGAGTTATTATATATTATTATATTAACAGATCAATGTCTAAGAATAATAGGCTCAATTTTGTATAATCTTAAAATAAAAACAATGCAACATTCAACATGTTTATTAAAAATAGAAAATATTTAAAAGGGGCTAGCTCTCAATCTCACTGTTGGAAGTATAACATATGAAATTGGTTTGTTCCCTTATTGTTCCTTTAGACTTAGTATCTGTAAGTTAATTAATATAATTGTATATAGATAAATATGGTTTAAAAAGGGAGCATACTTTTCAATTATATACAATCTCCTCTCCACCACCCAAACTTTTCACAATAAGAATGACGGATCTGTGGACCCTGAGAAAAAAAAGTTATACATACTGTTTGACCTTTAGGAGATCCTTCTTCAGTCAGTTTCTCAAACAGTTCTTTAGCTGACTGAATATTTTGCTTCAAGTAGTCACCAAACAATAATGTATAAGACACTCTTTCCATGGCCTTAGTATGATTCATGTCAGCGGCTCTCAAGAAATACTGATAAGCCCTTAAAGAAGAAAAAATGTATGTTGTTGTTCTTTTAAGCATTAATGCTGTTCCAAAAATGCTTGTGTAGATGGTGTGCAAATTATCCAGCTGATGGCTGCATGAGTCTTTTGAATGAATATTGTTAAAACCCAAATCTGATTTCATTTCACATTTGATTAATCAATATGATTATTCTCTCATTATGTATTAATAATGTTCGTCTATTATTACATATATATATCTTGCTAAAAACTTTTGAAAGTTTCTGGGTGATACATCCAAGTTTGGACAGATCTCAAATCTCTTCCCTAAAAGTTAGCACATTTCTCTCATGTAAATACATAGTGTAAAACATAAATGCAATGTCATAACTGAAACACAAGGCCTCATATACTGAAAATTAATAGCAAAACATCAAGCCAAACATTTTTATTGCTGGGGTGGGATTGAAATACTGAAGCTATTTTTTTCCAGTTTGTTAGCAGGGGGTGGTTATGACAAAAAATATGTGCTGAGCCTACCAAATCTAATAATTTGGGGGCAGGGAAGTCACATCATGGTGGCTTAATGATTTACAGAAATAGGCACTTGTCTATTCTTCTACCTTAAGTTTTAACCTAATAGGTAACATTTATCTGATAAGCTATATCTTGTAAAACAGTAGTCCCCAACCTTTCCAGCTTCATGGACCAGCAGCAGTGGTATCAAGGGAGAGGGGATGGTTTCGTGTGCGCATCTGCCACTTGCACAAATGGAGCTTTGTGTGCTCGCCCACTGCTTGCATGGGCTGGTTCCCAACAGGCTGCAGACAGAGACCAATCCATGGACTAGGGCAGTGATGGCTAACCTTTTTGCTGTTGCATGCCAAAAGTGGGGGGAGCGTGGGGGGTCGTGTGCACACGTGCCCACACCCATAATTCAATGAGCCCCGTGCATGTGCACACAACCCCCCCGCGCTCCCCCCGCTTTTGGCATGCAATGGCATGGTGGGCCCAGTAGGTCCATTTTTCGCTCTTCCCAGGCTCCAGAGGCTTTCTTGGAACCTGGGGAGGGTGAAAATGGCTTCCCACTCCCTCGGAGGCCCTCTGGAGGCTGGAAACAGCCCATTTCCCAACTTCTGGTGAGACAGAAAGGCCCGTTTTTCACCCTCTCCAGGTTCCATCGGCTTTCTAGGAACCTGGGGAGGGCAAAAACAGCCTTCCCCACCCCCCACGGAGGCCCTAAGGAGGCCTGAAATGGCCCATTTCTTGACTTCCGGAAGGGCCGAAAATCAGCTGGCCAGCGCGTGCATGCACACTGGAGCTGAGCTAGGGTAAAGCTCGCTTGCCCACAGATATGGCTCTGTGTGCCACCTGTGGCACGCGTGCCATAGGTTCGCCATCACGGGCTAGGGGTTGGGGACCCTCTTGTAAAAGAATCTTGGAGCACATTAAAGGTTCCTATATTCCTATATGCATATATTCAACATACAGGTATCAGGGCTCTGAGTTTGCTAGTTTGATCCCCAGAATTTGTAATCCAAATAAATTTGATGAATACACTACTGGGAGAAACTATTGATATCCTTCTATCCAAAAAGGAGATATAAGCTACACAAAGAAGAAAACTCACTCCTTCTTCTGGGCCTTCTTCCTGCTCTCATTAAGAATTTTCATCCCTGTTTGGTAAACATCTTCTGCTTCCTGCATTTGTCTTCTCTTATGAGACTCCTCTTCAGCTAATAAAAAGATTTTTTTTAAAAAGGCTAATTAATACTCACTACAATGCTGCTCATTTTATTCTGAGACCATTTATTTCAGGCTTTTTTGTTAAACTATTGTGTTTTGCCATTTTTGTTATACTGTGGCAATCAACTAAAGGCTTTGAGAAGAAAAAAAAAAACCTCAATCATATATTAAAACAAACCAGAGTATGTTTGATGGTATTCTTAGAAGTCAGTTTGACGGTATTCTTACAAGTCAGTCTTCATTGCGCATTTATGCAAACCCCATTGATATTAGTTATTAAGGACATGCAATGCATTTTCAGTATTTTCAGAGTAAAAAAATATGAAAACATACTTTTCCCCCCCAAATGAGCTGTTTGGAGATTTCCCAAGGTCCAAACCATCCTATTTTATACTCAAAACACGTTTTGCATAGAAAGCAGAATATTTTATGAAATTTTACACCTGACAGATTTCAAAACTAAACATTATGTGTACCTGCTACATTTTTAGAATTAAAATAAATGGAAATGAAGCTTTGATTAACTCTATTGATAAGAAATCTTTCCAGTGATCAGTGAGTTTTGTATTTCAGCATAGAAAATATATTGTTCCAGTTAATATGAGTTATTATTTTAAGCAAAAAGCTGAACTGGCAGTTGAAATCATGAAGAAAGTAAAAACAGAAATACTTCTTTATTGTTTATTCAGGATATTCTTCTATAGTTTCCAAAACTTTATAAACATGTGGATAAAATATCCACATATTCAAATTACTCATATATTGCTCTTTTTTTCCTGAAGCATTAATTTAACTGTATTAAATGCCAGCACCAGAACTTTAAAGCTAAGTTCTGCTCTGAAAAACCAAGCTCATGAGTAATGTATTAAAAGTTCTAAAATATAAAAAGTAAAAATTGACTGGTGAGTTAATAGCCACATATACAACATTAGGCTAAAGAAGAGTGTTATTTCATTTAGCTGCTTAATTTAACACCTGCAAAAATATAAAAGGTATGTTTTTGGGTCCTGGCAAATACCTTTGGGAGATCTGCTTGTAAGCAGTACTTGTATTGGCAACAGCTCCCATGCTGTTAGTATGCAGAATCTCTATAACAATGGACCCTTTAAATCCATCTATCAGAATGTACAAACATATTTTTTCGCATTCATCTATATCTGTCCCTTACTGAATAACACCCATTAATTTAAATTCACGAAGTCAGGAAACTGCTTTTCTTAGGAAAGCCATACTTACTTTCACAAAAGCCCCACTTTTGATCAGTCTTGTAGTCATAGGTTGTCGCACACCATAGTCTCCCATCTTCTCTCCCATCTGCAGTACATTCTGAGTATTCCTTCTCCATAAAGAGAAAGGGGAACTGACATAACTCGCCATCTGCAGTTCCTCCAATAGCTGTCAAAACTAAAACAAACAACCCATGTGAAACATCCTGAAGTTACAATGCTTATCAAGTCACCAACTGTTGGTAAGTTTTAACATAATTTTATTTCTTATAGCTTTCCTTTGTAAAATATATATAACAAGGAATTTCAGGGAGTTTATAAACATTTTCATCACAATGGATATGCAGATTCAGAACAAGAAATTGAAACAGATAACAGAATCACATATGAATTGTCAAAAATTCTGCCAGTCAGAAAATTCTCTACAGCAGAACCAAATGTATGAAAAGTTATCCCCATGTTGTACAGATGAAAGCCAACCAGTGGTGGGATTCAGCCAGTTCGCACCACTTTGGGAGAACCGGTTGTTAACTTTCTGAGCAGTTTGGCAAACTGGTTGTTGGAAGAAATCATTAGGGCAGAGAACTGGTTGTTAAATGACTTGAATCCCACAACTGAAGCCAACACAACACTCACAAAATCTAAATAATTAAGAGAAAATAAAATCAACACAATGAAATCATCTAATTCAATTATTTAAGGTGGAATCTGTTTAAATCTGTTAATAACAGTTCCCATGTTCATTTTAATGCTGCAATATTTCTGTAACAATTTACTATTATAGTCCTTAAACTTAATTAAAAATAGATTAGGATTTGGGAAGAATATGATCTCTTTACAAGTTGAAATGCAATTCTGAAATTTACATAAAACTAGGAAATGCAACTTGACGTGGCATTTGAAGAGAACTTCAGTCATCTATGATACAGCATTGAAAGAGAGCAAGAATCACTTCATGCTCTCTTTCAGTGTTATAATTAGATGTGTGAAAAGTTTCATAATGATTAAGGACGTCAGATGTTCCTTGTCTTAACTTTTCGAAACATTTATTCTTAAAATCTATTGGGACATTTCAAATTGCAAATGCTTATCGTATCATAAAGGTTGTCTGCTTATAGTCAAATAAAACTTATATGGTAAGTAAGTACAATAATAGCTTATCTGTAATTCTTTCTCTACTATATGCACTGCAGTAAACCCCAAATAATCTGCAGAGACTTATCTCCACAAGCTAAGATTCAAAATAATCCAGTTTATGATTTAGAATTATATGTGAATTCAGATATAGAGAGAGTTCCAATCAACAAACAAAATACAAGGCTATTGCACTGAAACAGACAAGATATCATGAAAGAAAAACAATATCGCTTCTTTTAGTCAAAATACATATTGCAATTCCTATTCAGATTTGTTTCTCATCTTATTTTTCTAGATTAATGTTCTGAAATCTGTCCCCTCCACCTTGTCTACGAATAATTCCTGTGCTAGTGAACAGCTGTCTTTTCAGAGGAAAGATAAGTAGGCAGTCATGCAAATTAATTCAGAATAAGGCTTATTCCCACACAAAGTTGAGAACAAATATTTTAAAAGCTCTCATCCTGCGGCTAAACCATAACAGACTCAAGCTGTCTTGCAGAACTTCCAGAGCTCAGCAGTTTGTTTAGAGGTAGAAACAAAGCATTTTCCATTTTGTGAGTAGTCTTGTTTTCAGTGCATTAATAAACAGATATGCATATGGTTTCCTATTTTTTAAATCCAAGTTCTCATATAGACGGACTAATCTTTAAATATCTGAGTATTCTCTTTGGTAATCTTGCTTTCATCGAAGAATATGTTACTATGGGGTTGTGATGAATACCAGGTATCTCTACCATCACTTCTAAAATCTGTTTCAAAATTGGGATCTGAATATTGGAAACAAGATGCAAAGATTTATAACGTTGTCCGCATTTAGTGACTGAAGTCAGTGAAGCTAGTTAAAAATCACAGAATGCAAGCTATGGTTTTTTTTAATTGACATTGAAGAGATTTACCAACAACCTTCATCAAAAGCATTTAGGTCAAAAGTCTGATTAATTATGTAACATTGTTAAAACCGTATGAATACACTGGTGGGGCTGACATATAAGACAGGCAGAAAGCTATTTTACCAGCAAAATCCATTCTACTGATTCATGGATACACCTGAATACAGTTTTTATATTTCCATCAGTTATTAAAATGTTCTCTCACCTTTATTATTTTATAAGTAACTCAAGATGGTAAACATAACTAATACTCCTTCCTCCTATTTTCTCTACAACAAACCTACGGAGTGGGTTCAGCTGAGAGAGAGTGACTAGCTCAAAGTTACTCAGCTGGCTTTCATGCCTAAAGCAGGACTAGAGATAATAGTTTCCTGGTTTCTAGGCTAGCACCTTTACCAGTACACCAAACTGGTTCTCATGTCCTAAGGAGGAGCATCAAATTACAAAAAAAGCTGTAGGCAGAATTTAGGACATACTGTTTAAACAATGCTGTTTTAAAGGAATAAATATTAGGGATTTTTCTTGTATATTTGTAGACAGATTATCTGATTTTTACCACATAATCGGTCTACAAATATACAAGAAAAATCCCAAATATTTATTCCTTTAAATCAGCATTGTTTATTGCTTAACGCCTTGTAAGCTGCCCTGAGTCTCCAGAGAAGGGCGGCATATAAATCAAAAAATTAAAAAAAATCAATTGTTTAAGCAGTACGTATGTTACTATTATTACAGTTTGTTGAAAAAAAGAGCAAAACTAATACAGGAAGGAGGGAATATGAGGCTTCTGACTTTGACTGCTATAGTTTTACCAATTTCTCTAAACAAAGTAAAAATGTTTTCCTTAAGCTCTTACAAATCTCATCTAAAAAGAATATACAAAACTGCTTAAGATCGGCAGATGGAAAACTTTAATAACCCACACAATCACCTGTTTTTTCTGCTTCTACTTCTTCCAAGTCTTTATTTAATAAAGCAGACAATTCTAAAGAGCTTAAGCTCTCCAAAGTCCTTTCCTTGTCCTCTTCTCCAAAACCATCTCCATCTTCAGCTAGAGCCTCTGGATCTTCAGAATCAATAAAGATCTGACCTGCTACCACTTGAGCTCCTGCTGAATGATCCTTCACTTGTTCTTCAGAAGGCAAGGTTGACTACAAAATAAATAATAGGGGAAAAAAGAAACATAGTTTTTGTTTTAAAATATAGTAAAATATGGAGTTTTTATTTTATGACAATTGCATACAAAAAGTCAAAAGACACAATGTAAACTACTTTGTTACAATTCCAATTTATCACATTTTCTTCCAGAATCTGCTTTTTGTTTTAAAAATATGTCTATTCCCTACTCCCAGCAACTCATCTTTCATTATATCCCATTAGATGTTGCTGAGCTATGACTTCCACCAGCTTCAACCAATGCAGCTAATGGATAGTGCAACTAATGCAGTTATAGATTCACTGGAAATTAGCTGAAAATATTTCCCATTTAAATTCTCAAATGACCTGTGTGGAAATAATTAAATAATCTAAGATATTTCAAAATAATAGAATCACTGAAATAAAAATAATTTTCTTTCATTTAAGCTTTTATTCATCCATGAAACTTAGGTAAAGAATTTTTCATTGCAATTATGTATTGTACCATGTTCATTGATTCAAAAATTCATAGCTATGAAAAAGGAATCCCAGACAAAAGACTAGTCACCTTTGATTCAAAAGACTCCTCTTGAGCAGCTTCTTCGTCTACAAAATTAAAGAGGATGATTTTAACAGCAAAATTTGGAAATAAATCATATTCTTAACAAGTGGCATTAATTTTGTCTCAAAGCTTCTGTTGATAAATAATATGCAAATATTAACATGAAATTATGCATGTTCATGCATAAATGCAATATGCACCTAAAGCGGTACAACGATGTGCTAGAGATACATACCTCCCAATAAATGAATATATACAGTAATTATAATTCATATCTTATTTGCAAATAAATAATCCAAACCAGGAAGGGTTATAAAGCATAAGTTGTCTTCAGTGAAAAAAATTAGTGGTAGATATTTTTCTTATTACTTCTTTCCTTCACCTCTAACTAAAAAGGTCACAGGACTATCTAGACTAGTGTGGCAATTGGACCAGAAAATATAGATTGTTTCAATAAAGAAAGAAATCTTACATTTACAAAAGGCAATCTGGAATTAACTAAAGGTATGTAAATAAAACACATCTTAAAGATAAACTGCTCAATTTAATTTAATAAATTAAATTTATTTAATAAATTTATTTAATAAATTTAATAATTTAATAAATCATTCCAAATTAGTCAATATGCTGAAAACCTGTAAAAGGTATTATATTTTTCTTTCTCTTGCTGTAAGATGCGAGTTTATTTATTTTTTATTTTGAATAATCATCAAGCACAGACACATTGCAATAACAATGTGACTGATATGTACAGTTGCAAGAAAAAGTATGTGAACCCCTTGGGATTAAGTGGAGTTTTGCATGAATTGATCATAAAATGTGCCCTGAACTTCATCTAAGTCACAACAATAGAAAAACACAGTCTGCTTAAAATAATACTATACAAACATTAGATGTTGCCATGGTTTAATTGAACATAACATGTAAACAATCACAGTGCAGGGAGGAAAAAGTATGTGAACCTTTGGACTTAATAACTGGTTGACCCTCCTTTGGCAGCAATAACCTCAACCAAACGTTTCCTGTAGTTGCAGATCAGACCTGCACAACGATCTGGAGTAATTTTGGATCACTCCTCTTCACAGAACTGTTTCAGTGTAGCAATATTCTTGGGATGTCTGGTGTGAATTGCTCTCTTAAGGTCATGCCACAGCATTTCAATCAGATTGAGGTCAGGACTTTGACTGGGCCACTCCAGAAGGCGTATTCTGTGCTGTTGAAGCCATTTTTTTGTTGAATTACTTGTATGCTTTGGGTCATTGTCCTGTTGCATCACCCATCCTCTGCGGAGCTTCAGTTGGCGGACAGATGGTCGTATGTTTTCCTGCAAAATGTCTTGATAAACTCTGGAATTCATTTTCCCATCAATGACAACAATCCGTCCAGGCCCTGAGGTAGCAAAGCATCCCCAAACTATGATGCTCCCTCCGCTATGTTTTACAGTGGGGATGAGGTTTTGATGTTGGTGTGCTGTGCCTTTTTTTCTCCACACATAGTGTTGTGTGTTCTTCTCAAACAACTCAATTTTGGTTTCATCTGTCCACAGTATATTTTGCCAGCAGTGCTGTGGAACATCCAGGTGCTCTTTTGCAAACTTCAAACGTGCTGCAATATTTTTTTTTGACAGCAATGGCTTCCTCCGTGGTGTCCTCCCATGTACTCCATTCTTGTTTAATGTTTTCCTTATTGTAGATGTGTCAACAAAAATGTTAGCATGTGCCAGAGATTTCTGTAGGTCTTTAGCTGACACTCTAGGATTCTTCTTTACCTCATGAAGCATTCTGCGCTGCGCTCTTGCAGTCATTTTTACAGGACGACTACGCCTAGTGAGAGAAGCAACAGTGCTAAACTTTCTCCATTTGTAGACAGTCTGTCTTACCGTGGACACATGAACATCAAGGCTTTTGGAGATACTTTTGTAACCCTTTCCAGCTTCATGCAAGTCAACAATTCTTGATCGTAGGTCTTCTGAGAGCTCTTTTCTGCGAGGCATGGTTCACATCAGACAGTGCTTCTTGAAATCAGTAAACCCAAAACAGGTGTGTGTTTTTAAAGGGCAGGACAGCCGTCAGCAACACATCCAATATCATCACACTGATTGGAGTCAAGGTTGGCTCACTCCTGGCTCCAATTAGTTCTTGGAGAAGTCATTAGGCTAGGGGCTCACATACTTTTTCCTCCCTGCACTGTGAATGTTTACATGTTATGTTCAATTAAACCATGGCAACATCTAATGTTTGTGTAGTATTATTTTAAGCAGACTGTGTTTTTCTATTGTTGTGACTTAGATGAAGTTCAGAGCACATTTTATGATCAATTCATGCAAAACTCCACGTAATCCCAAGGGGTTCACATACTTTTTCTTGCAACTATATATCTATTTACAGTATGTCTATTTCAAAAAATTTAGATCAGCTAGAATTCTTAGGCAGGAGGAAAAGTGCTTTAGAAGAAACAGAGCTAATATAAGAAAATAAAATACTGATACAAGGAAAGAGCCAAAAATAAGGAACTGAATGGAGCATAGACAGGTGGTCTTCTAATTGAAGCTTCACACAGCAAAATTTACAAATAAAAGAAAAAAAATCTACAATAAATTTTGGGCAATGTTATATAATAAAGAAAGCAGATTAGAAATCACTTTTTAAGAATTAATGTTTCATAAAATTTCCAGACCAGTAATATAGACTTGATTTATTCAGAAAAAAGCAGCATATTTAGCATGATATTGCAATCAATATCAAAAAGTGATTTCACTTGAAAACAATTCAAATTAAAAAACATAGATAATAATGACAAATTTTTAGTGATCAACTTCACAATAAATCACAAGATTTCTGTTTACTTTAGTATTGTGGGTACAACAGGCTATTATTTTAATTTAAACCCATTAAACTATCACACCAATAAATGTATTGAAATAATTTGTATCTTTAAAGTGAAGCAAGTTGGCTGTATTTCATTCTCATTGCATCATGTTAAGATCTCTCTGAAGGAACAAGCTCTATATTAAGTTGCAGGCAAACACATTGTTGACTGTCAGCAGATAAGATGTTCTTTCCAAAGCAATGTATCATAAGGAAAACAGGTTCTGTTTGTTTAGCTGTCTTTTCCTTTTCAGTTGGTAAAGATTTTGTGGGGAAAAAAAATGAGAGAAGAGAAGTCTTAGCTTAGGTTCATTATATTTCAAGGACTTAACAAAAAATAAGTAGATTTTAAAAACCAGAAACCCTGTCAGGATAAACACTCAGGTTTGGTTTCTTAAAAGCTTAATCTGAGTGTATATTAAAAACACAAGTACATGCTAATTATTGATTCCCATGAGAAAAAAATAAGGATTATTAACAATTCCAGATCAATTAACTAAATTGTTTTTCTAATATGAAAACCCAGAGTTTGCAAAAGATGAATACACGTGACTCTTGTTATTCAGAGTGGTTCCATTCCAACATAAAACTACAGTCAATAACACTGCAATTTACAAGACCTTGAATCTTGGAAAATTATATCCAAAGTCTATATCCATTCTCTTCATTTTATTAGAAATTCTTCAAGAGTGATTTTATGTGCAATGTACTGATATTTACAGATGGATCAATTTAGCCACATGGCTTCATGTGGCTTCCTTGTGGCCTTTTTACTGATGCCATTTGGTTCTCCTAGTTATTTTGCTCTAAGAGTTTCTTCATAATCTTGGCTTCTCAATTGCATTGTTGGATGTTAATAGTGACTGAAGACTCTGATCGGGCAAACTTCCTCAATAACAAGCTGAGCAAGTATTCCTGACTAAGATGTCTGGTTACTATAACAAGTCTTGTGCCACAAGTGACTTATCAGTATCTTTTGTGACCAATTAAAAGTATATTGTGCAGATAACCCAATCCATTTATTTATACACATGTTCTTTCTCATGTACAAAAGTTGTGACGTGCAACAAGTAACAAAAAAGCAAGTGCAAAACGAAAGATAAGCAAAAAGACCTTTCCATATATTGTATACTGGGATCTCACCTCTATGTTCATGGTAAATATCTAAAACTACTGATAATGAAACAGTTCAAACAGGACACCCGAAGTAATTTCTACAAACCCATCAGCTAAATTAAAGCACACCAACAAACAAAAAAATTGTAGTACAACTTTTAGAAATTATCTGGTAGGATATTAATCCAAGAACAACCTAGAAATTGCAAATAATGTTCAGTTACTGCAGAAAAAAACACTTATATAATCAGCAAAAAAGAAATAAAAAGACAAGTGATCCATGCCATCAAGAATATAATTTTCAGCAAACTTTAGAGGAGCCTTTCTCAGCTAATGTGGCGTATCATAGTAATAAACATGTTGGACTAGGATGGATTCAAGTCTACTCCCAGCAATGGAATACACTGACTGACTTTGAGCTGAGTACAATCTCAACCTGCTCCAAAAGGCCACTGTGGTAGCTTCCAGAAGAAAAGGAAAAGCAAGAGGTAAATCTAATTAAGAGGGAGAGGAGGTATGATCTTTTTATACTTTTAAAATTCTGCAATGTGGCCAATTCTGAAGTTAAAATCTACAAATCTGCAGGGCAATAAGTTAACAGAAGGATGCTTCAGTGCTTCATATATCACAAAATATAACATTATATCCCCAGCGTTAAAGTCAAGCTAATGTTCAGGACTCTAGTTAGTCTGGAATAGGAATTTTTTAGTTCTGTATATCCATGAGCTCAGAAATATTTGTTTCATTTGCTTCACAAAGCTGGGTACTCTGAAAAAATAGTTCTGGGAAAATACACACTTCCAATTAGATTTAAACAAAAACAAATCAAACCATACCTTTGGATGTAGTAAGTACTCAAAGTGCACTTTCCCTAACAGCCAAAATACAGATAACCCTCAATGTACGACCACAATTGAGTCCAAAATTTATGTTGGTGAGAAATTTCTTAAGTGAGTTTTGCCCCATTTTATGACCTCTGTTGCCACATTTGTTAAGTAGATCATGGCAGTTCTTACGTTAGTAACATGGTTAAGTGAATCTGGTTTCCCCATTGACTTTGCTTGTCAGAAGGTCGCAAAAGAACACATGACTCCGGGACACTGCAACCGTCATAAATGTGAGTCAGTTGTCAAGCATCCGAATGTAAATCACATGACTATGGGGATGCTGCAACAGTCATAACTGTGAAAAATGGCCATAAGTCACTTTTTTCAATGCTGCTGTAACTTCGAATGGTCATTATCAACGATGATAAAGCATTCATCTTGGCATTGGTCTGCCTATGTTTTCTGTGAAAGACTTTTGTAACATAACAAAGCTATTTTTTAAACATGTGGAAGAGACAATAAGAATATGACAAAGCTAGGTCATCAAGAAAGATTTTACTTTTTTTGGATAAAATTTTGTATGCTGTAATAGTTAAACAATTGTTATATTCAATGGGGCTTATTTCTAGACAAATATTCATAATACAACTATAGCATGAAATTCTGTATATAAAATATGTATATAATGTATATAAAATATGCCTAGAGATAAACCAGTATTAAAAATGAGAGGCTACCATTTTGCTAGGAAAAATCTTGTGTTATTATACATCCAGCGCTTATTAAGTAATATATAGAAATACTATTACAGTTTTGAAAATTATGTGGGTGAATTTGAACTGACTAAACACCTTGGTTTTTAGGTGTGAATGAGAGAAATTAGTCAACATTTTGATCGAAAAATTAAATTATATTTTATTTACTAGTGGGGCAGTTAATTTTTAATGGTAGAATTATCTGCTTTACTCTCTCAGTCAAACCCGTTAACTGACTTTACTATCTCAGTTATTATTTAAAGTACAATGAGAACATGACAGAATAGAAGTAACATATATACACAGTCCATGTAATTATAAGTAAAACGTCTATGAGTATATGGCAGTGGCCTCCTAACTGGATGTCAACTATTCAGGCGATCGCCTCTGGTGCTGCTTCATGTAGATCTAAGGAACCAGAGAGCACACTTCATGGGCACAATATGTTGAATAGTTTGCATATCAGCACCACAATTGCTTTATCAGTGGGAATCTTCCCATTCCCACTGATACAGGGCCATGGCACATCTTCCAGTATCACATCTAATTCTGTTCAATTTCGACCAAAGTGAGGCAGGTCGAAATCAGGTGGTTTGGTAGAGGGATCACTAATGGTCAGTCCACAAGAAGGTACCTTGTACCATTCCTCTCTCCAGGCATTCTTGGGAATAATAATGTAACTATGTCAGTTATCAGTCTCCACTGCTTTTCTTTTTATATATGACAATCAACTTTCTCAGGCATTCAAGGCAGTGAAAAACTACTACCCACCCATTAATGCCATGAACCTCCCTATCTGCTATCAGTTATTAACTTACTTCATTGCTAAATTTATTTCGTTCATTTATATTCTTCAACTTCTTCCTATCCCCCTCTGCAGAAATGAGCTCACATTATTTCACACAAACAATAAGCACCACCATCTGGCATCTTGTGCTTTTCAGAGCATTCTGGCTAGCCAGACAATAAATATAGATTTCTAGAGTAGAGAAATATCAAGAAAAGGCTTGGGGAGATATGGCAAACTAAACAGTCTTTGAAAAAGCTAGACTACTGAAGAACCATCAAGGACAAGGAAATGATAGGAGCTTAACCACATGTAACCCAGGATGGATGCTCCTCAGGAGAAGACAGCAGGATAGCAGTCTCCCACAGGTTGGAGTATCAGGAGAGGAAGGGATCAACCATCATGCTCACATGGAATCTTTTAAAGGACACTAATTTTGCTAACCTCACTTACTAAGTCTGCACTACTATTAATCTTCTCATCGTTCCTATCAGCCATCTCCTCCCGCTTATGACTGTATGATTGTAACCTTGTTGCTGGTATCCTTACGATTTATATTGACTGTTTCCTAATATGATTTGATTATTTGTACTCTATGACTATCATTAAGTGTTGTACCTTATGATTCTTACGAATGTATGTTTTCTTTTATGTACACTGAGACAAATTCCTTGCGTGTCCAATCACACTTGGCCAATAAAGAATTCTATTCTATTCTTTTTTATTTCTAGTCACTTTCAGAAGTGACTGCTTATTTAACTATCTTAAGGCTATTAGAGAACTGAAAAGCCACCTGATGAGTTTACAGTCATTTTTGAACAGAAGAAAATTTAGCCATAAGTTTAAAAACTTAAAATATAGGAAATAAACAGGAAAAGTTAAATAGATTTTGATCTAAGTTATAAATTAAAGGTCCCGGCAAATTTGGAAAATTGAGACTGTTACTTTAAGATTTTGGAAATAATTAAATAAACAGCTTTTGTGGAAAAAAATTGTCCTTGTAATCTTATAGGAAGGCAAAGAGATATCAAATTTGTTTATATAGTTTAAATTGTATAGTTTAAATTTGTATACCGCCCTACTCCCGAAGGACTCAGGGCGGTGAACAGCCATAAATAAAACATATAGATACAAAATTTAAAATAGAGATAAAACTAATTAAATAAATTTGGCTGAGACATTTTAAAACCCCAATAAATTAAAACCAAATTTAAAATTCCATTTAAAAAGAGGAAAAGTTTAGGTCAGGCCAGCTTGATGGAATAAAAACGTCTTAAGCGCGCGACGGAAGGTACGCAGATCCGGAATCCTCCGTATCTCCAGGGGGAGCTCGTTCCAGATGCCCCCACAGAGAAGGCTCTCCCCCTGGGGGCCGCCAGTCGACATTGTTTGGCCGACGGCACCCGGAGGAGCCCCTCTCTATGGGAGCGTACTGGTCGGTGGGAGGCTATTGGTGGCAGCAGGCGGTCCCGTAAATAGCCAGGTCCTAAGCCATGGAGCGCTCTGAAGGTGATAACCAGGACCTTGAAGCGCATTCGGAAGACCACTGGGAGCCAGTGCAGCTCGCGCAGGAGAGGCGTTACATGGGAGCGCCATGTCGCTCCCATCACCACCCGCGCGGCCGCACTCTGCGCCAGTTGGAGCCTCCGAGTGCTCCTCAAGGGGAGCCCCATGTAGAGAGCGTTACAATAGTCCAGACGGGAGGTGACGAGGGCATGTTTATTATTGTGATGAAGATTGAAAGTTATGTTTCTTCTTTCCCCACTTTTTCTTTTTCTCTATTTCTTTCTTTCTAAGTTTATTTTGTAATAATATAATGTAATATAATATAATAATCAGTAACTATTTGGTAGAAGCTTTTGAAATTTTGTTAATATAACATATTACAATAAATTAGCATTCCTCAGGGGGAAAAATTGTTATCAAGAAACAGCTTTCCTGATGCAAAAAGACAAATGTGTACCTTATGAGCAAAATATGACAACATGTCTGGTACAGTGCATTTTAATGTGCATTAATGGCTTCAGCTGCAGACATAGATCATATTTACAAGCTTGCATGGTCAAAAGGAAATCATAGTCACCGCCTTGAGCTTTTATAGGAAAGATGGGATATAAATATAACAAATAAGTGCCAAATACCTATTATATATGCACTTGTCTGGATATTTATACAGACTTGTACAGTATATACAATAACCATATTATGGGGGGGGGGGAGGAAGAGTCAAAACCTTTAGCAACATTTAGTAAAGCGCTTAACAAACACACCTTTCCACTCCTCGTTTAGCAGATCATTCCATGCTGTGCTCTAGAAAAAGTTGCTAGGGGCCTTACAACAAGTGTGTTTGGGTGGGGGGATCACCTCTTTTCTGCCCTGGGGTAACCCCCAGAGTCTTAGCTTTCCATATACATTCATTGCAGAGCAAGTGCCTTTCAACACAAAGGGGCCCGTGCTAAAAGATTTCTCCTCCCTGGATTAATTGGTTGTTCGCCGCCTTGAATTATTTATAATAATAATAATATAAAAAAAACACACAACAAAAGCGACATATAAATAACATAAAATAAAATTAGCGGCAGTATTGGAGTGAAGGGTTGCAAATGCTAAACGTCAAAGCTGAAAGAGAGGCTAATCTGCGAGGTTGGCGAGAAAGGAACACTAAAAGCAACTATTTATTCCAACGCACTTGATCCGGTTTTCGACTGGCCTCTCTTACCTTTACCGGCTTTCGGCCTTTGGCTTCACCCCCCATCCCCACCCGGCTGCCGCCGCCGCCGCCGCCGCCGCCGCCCTCTCAATCAGGGTCTCCCCCCTCCCACACTCGGCACCCCGTCCACTAAGCAAGGCCCACCGGAAGCGCTCGTACTGACCAGCAGCCGCCAAGCTGATGGACGCCAGCAACAGCAACAGCGGCAACCCCACCGCCGCCCGTGCCAGGAACCACCGCGGCGCGGCCCGCGAGAAAACACCCATCCCGCCGAAGACGAAAGCGACTCCGCCGCGGCACTCCGAGAAAACCCGGAGAGCTGCCGCCTGCTCCCCGCCCCACAGCCGCCCGACGGCCAATCAGGGCATCCCCTGCGGCTCTTCCAATAGCTGCTCGACGCTGGAGACGGCGCGTTTTCATTGGTTCGCGCGTTTTCTGACATGGCCTCTCTGAATTGGCCCGTAAGAGCCCGATGCCAATGGCGGAGCGACGCGTCAATGCCATTCTGGCGGCCAATCCAACGCCGGAGGAGGCGGGGCGGCCAATTAAGACACTTCTGAGCTCTGGGTTATCGGAGAATTACAAACGCGGAAGGAAGGGAAGTGGAGAGGAGATCGGAGGGTTATCGGTCTTCCTTGCGGGAGTCCCGCACGTGGGAGTCCGTTGGAATTTAAAACGTTTTATTCTGCAGGTGAAAGAGATCGACACTTCGGGATATATCAGTGTTGTTTTCAACCGCAGGAATTTTTTAAGATGTACGGAATCCCAGAATTCCCCACTGGGCGACCAATGTAATATGTATCTACCGCAGAGGTCTTCAAACCTGGCAGCTTTAGGACTTGTGGACTTCAACTCCCAGAATTCTCATAGCACAGCATAGCATAGCTGGCTGGAGAATTCTGGGAGTTGAAGTCCACAAGTCTTAAAGCTGCCAGGTTTGAAGACCTCTGATCTACCGAGAAGTCGGCCAAAAGGACTACAAAGACCAGGAGACATTGCAAAAAGGAATTAAATCCAATTCAGACCTTTTGATGTCAAGGATCCGCCTCAAGGAATGACGTTGCTCACAATGCGAACCAATTGTACATTGTAACGACGAGCAAGAATTTCTGATTTCTTTCAACATGATTTTCTGGCACGCACAACCTCCCCAGAAATATCCCAGATTTTAGCATAACCGTGTGTCGCAGAGTGTAATTTTCCTTCCCCCTCCCCACCTTAATTTCGGCAATAGAGAACTAAAACCTATGAACGACATCCCATCCTGCTTGCAATAGTGGGGGAAGACGGAATAATTACTCTGCAGACATTTATATCGCTAATACAGAATAGAATAGAATAGAATAGAATAGAATAGAATAGAATAGAATAGAATAGAATAGAATAGAATAGAATTCTTTATTGGCCAAGTGTGATTGGACACACAAGGAATTTGTCTTAGTGCATATGCTCTCAGTGTACATAAAAGAAAAGATAACTATATTATAAACAGATTCCTTGTGTGTGTAAGTACATATGGCCAATAAAGTATTTATTATGTTTTGTAAATTTATTTACATCCTGCCTTCCTATATAAGCAAACCAACAGCGTTTTTGAAAAGATCTGTTGCAGGTTCGGGAGTGGTACATTCATTATACATCATTTCCCATTGGGAAGTACTTTGATTAGAGGAAAGAAGTGCATTGCATATTTTTTAAAAAGGTTATTTTTCCCCCCATTTCCTGCTTATTTACAAGAAGCTTCTTTAACCTGCGGCTTTTTCTGCTATGGAAAGCTGATGGTTTCGTGTAGTAGAAAGAATGCCCTGAGGGAGAAATATTGAAGTTATGAAACTTTATTTGAAAAAAATATTCTTGAGTCTGTAGCTTGTGTTAGAAGAAATATCCTTCTGGGTTCAGCTCCAAGTGGGGAAAAAGACACTGAAAACATGGAGACTGCTTGGAAAGATGATTTAATGGTGGACAGGATCACATGGTTTGAGTTCCTGAACAGAAAAGGGGCGAGACACAGTGAGTCCCCGGGTTTTATGCCCTCTCTGGCTTTGAACTTCCTGGGGCCCAGAAAGAGTATCCTGATTGGTTGTCACACTCCCAGGGGGTGGGGTTTTAGCTAGCCTTGCTGGCTGATGTAATTTTCCCAGGTGCCAGGTGGTGAGTTTCTGTTGCTAGATGGGTCCTATTGTGTTACTTTCTGTTGTTAGATGGGTCCTATTGTGTTGCAGATGATGATCCATTGACAAAGACTGAGTTTCTGCCTCTGGTCCATTGACAAAGGATGGGGGCCGGAAGATGGGAGCTACTTCATCTTTAAAACATGCTTCTCCATTTCTCATCCAGGGAAACATAATATTCTGCCTTTTTAATATTTCCCAAAATATTTCATTCCTCTAGGAAAGGGGTGGGTGCTAACTTCCTACACTTGCATAAAAGAAAAAGATCAAGCTTCATTTAGAAAATGGCATAATGATAGAAAGTTAATTCTACCTGTTGCTAGAAACCTGCAGGAACTACTAAAATTACAGAAGAGAGAAGACTGAACTGAGACAGGAAATGGTGATTGCTCTGAAAGTATCAATCTATCTGACAATCCCTGGTTTATAGGGACACACAAGAAAGGAGATAAACGGGCAGAATCCTGCTGGAAACTACAGCCCCATTGTGTCCAGAAGTTTAATAGGTACAAGAGGCCAAAAACAGAATGTGTGGAGGCCAAAAATGGGGAGTGTAGAGACCGAAAATGGGATGCGTGGAGGCAGCGATAGGCAGCAATGGCAATGGGTGAAGACAGCGGTGATGGGCAGCGGCAATCCCCGCAGCCTGTAACAGCTGATCAGCGGTATCCCAGGAGGCCAATCCAACCGCCAATCAGCTGTTCATGCTAAATCAGGGTGTGCTGAAGCTGACTAGGCTGTTTGCTGTTTGCTGCAAGGAGGGAAATTGCTGGGAGGCAGAAGCTGAAGGGTGGGGGCTGGCAGGTGGGTGGGGCTTCAGCAACATTCGCTCTATAGGATGCACAGACACACTTTTTTGGGGGGAGAGTGTGTCTTATAGACCGAAAAATACAGTAGTTAAGAAAACCACACATGGTCAATATTCCTAACATGATTGGTGATCAATATTCCTAAATTAACCAGTAAAAGTAAGAATTACTTTTCTCAGCATTACATTTTCTTGCTGGGAAACCTGTCTTTTTTTGTTAATTTATAAATTAATATCTCACTGCCTTTTTGAAAAAAACTGTCTATGTTAAATGTTTATCTTGATGTACCGGATTTCCTTTCACTCTGGTAATAAGCAGTTTATTGTACTGGCATATCTGAATATTCTGAGGATGTTGAATAGGTGTGACTAGTTCCTATCACATGCTAAATTTTTTCCACTCAATGACAATAAAACCGAATAACTCTTAAACTCTTTCTAAATAACCGAGAACAGGGGTGTCAAACTCGATTTCATTGAGGGCCGCATCAGGGTTATGTTTGACCTTGAAGGGGTGGGGTGGGGGCGTGGCCAGGGTGTGTGTGGCCAGCTCGACATCACTCATGTCAGGGGCGCCTGTGGCGGCCCGAGCACACTGCCAGTGAAAACGGGCTCCCAAGCTCCATTTTTGGCTGTGACGGCCTCCAACCCTCTGCCAGCAAAAACAGGGGGGGGGGGGGGGGGGGGGGGCGTGTATGGCCCTTGTGACCTCAGTTTTTGGCTGAGACAGCCTCCATTGTTGCTGGCAGAGGCACCATGGGCCAGGGCAGCTCGCAGACCAGATCCTTCCCCTGGCCCTTGAGTTTGACACCCCTGCCCTAGAAAGAAAGCTGTATAAATCTCAATATAATTGAACAAAATTTTTCCGGCCTATGAAATACTAAGGACAGTTGAAAGTAATACAGCTAAATACAACATATTTAGGTAGTTTGGTCTTCTGTGCATTTAAATTTTAGTCCCAATTATTTTATTGTTCTGGATTTTCATTATTAAAGCTTGCAGAGATAGGTATAGGTTTCTCATGAGGACAATGAGATGTTCTTGTATTTCCGTTTGTCTAAAGGCGTTGTTCAGCTTGATAACACAATTGAAAGATTTTCAAAATGAGTTAAACATATACTGTATTGATTTTTTTTTTGTACTCTTTGATTTTCTTATCTAATGTGCATCTGCAATAATGCCTCTTGTTGTCAGCCATTTCTATTGAACTTCTGGCATCTCCTTTGTCATGTAGTATCTGTCACTTTATATTGTCAATCTTTCAGGTTTTCTCAGTAAAATACTAGAGCAGTTTATCATTGTTTTCTCCTCACAATATGAATCAATGTTTCTACCTTTGTTACTAAAGTAATTATCCACCTCCAGCACCTTCCTGTTTTGCTGCTGTCCCAATGTAGATGCCTGTTTGCTTTAGCTGGGCAGCTGGGATGACCTTCATACCTCGGGTGATCCTGCTGGGAATATATGTTCTTGGAATTCTTTACTCATCCATCTCAGGAAACATACCACCCCCTCCACAATGAGGCTTGGAGTGGTACCCATAGAAAGGAGAACTCGGAGGTAGGCAAGTTCCTCAAAGAACAGTTTATTCTAAAAATCTTATTGGCGCAACTGGTGAAAGCTGACTCTAAAGTTCCTGTGGCTTTCACCTAATTAAAAAGTAAAAGTTTCCACTTTCCCCCAAATCACTGGTCATGCGATGCAATCCAGTTGCTGGGTTACTTCACTCCTCCTCTGGCCAGCCACCTGTGAGAATGTCCTTGGTTCCCACAGGAAAAAACTTTATTGTTTTCACTATAAAATCCCATCTAATCCCACCTATTTTCCCTTCTCCCTCTGTTATGTGGCAACACTGAAGCTTCCAAGATGGCCTCAGCCAGGTTCACTTCAGGGTTGACAGCATGTAGAGTATTCCTATGTAATTGCAATGATGTTTTTTTTCCCTGGCTAGAGATTGCATTTCTGTTATTTTCTTGATTTCCATCTCTGACAGCCATAGATGGCATAGGGTTGATGTAGGATGTTACCAAGATATATGGGATTGAAATTTGTGATCTGCTTTATTAGAGGGGAAGGTAAAAATAATACTATTCAGTCTCCAAGAGTGGGCAGGGAAAGAAAACAATTCCCAGTATATTGCAATTTTGCTGTGAGAGTTTAATAGTATCATGAAAGCTCCTGAAAGCTTCTGAAGCCTGCAAAAAAGGGGAGGCAATGGCATGCACACTCTGTTGTACAGTCCTTGATTTACGACCACAATTGAGCCCAACATTTCTGTGTCTAAGCAAAGCATTTGTTAAGTGAGTTTTGTCCCATTTTACGACCTTGCTTGCCACAGTTGTTAAGTGAATCACTGCATATG